TATCATCTATATTTTATATTCCTTTGCATTCATACTTGTACTGGTATTACTTTTTCCTCTTATCCTTTATGTCAGTGGTTCTCAACCTGTGGGTCGGGACCCCATCTGGGGTTGAATGACCATTTCACGGGGGTCGCCAAACAAGGCTGTCCGCCATTTTTCCCCCTTTTCTTTGGCCATGCCCCTGGCACCCGGTGATGTATAAGTGGTTGGGGGTCACCACAACATGGGGAACTGTATTATGGGGCCGCGGCATTAGAAAGGTTGAGAACCACTGCTTTATGTAATAGTAATAATTTTGTTTTCTTTTAAAAAAATGACAAATTGGACCCCTTCTCCTTGTTTTGCCAATAAAAGTAAGCGTCTTAACCCATTGGAGGAGGAGGAAGAGGAGGAGGAGGAGGAGATGATGAAGATTCTGATGGTATAAGACTCCTGCCTTGAGCAGTGGGTTGGACTAGAAGACCTCCAAGGTCCCTTTCCACTCTGATATTTTATGTTCTAAAGAGAGGAGGAGGAGGAGGAGGAGGAGGAGGAGGAGGAGGAGGAGGAGGAGGAGGAGGAGGAGATGAGTAATTCTTCTCAGCCAAGGCCTACGGATTTGACTATTTCAAGTGATTTCAGCTTCTACTGTAAGGATCATGGGCTTTCTGGATCCCGTTTTCCGGAGAATCATCAACATCCCAGACCCTGCAACGCGTTAAAAAGGAAACTCTCCAGGTTGAGATTGACTTTTGATGGACCCATCACTGAAAGTTTTCCTGGTTTGGTTTATTACAAGTATTAATCTGATTTGACTGAACTTCACTTTGGTGAAATCAACGAAACTCAGCCGGATACACGATATGAAGGGGAAGTTACATGGAAGAGGGATTGACTTCTTCTCCCAAGCACCGGAAGATACTGTAAGTCAAGAACCACAGGATGAAAACCTTAGCTTGAGAGATTCAAAGTTAAACAAGGAAGATTTTTTTTTGTACTGTGACAGCTCTGGAGCAATGGAATAACCTGCCCTCTGAAGTTGTGACTTCTGGAGATTTCCAAGAAAAGACTAGACAACCATTTGTCCTGTATCGGATTAGGATTCCTGCCCTGGGTAAGGGGGATAGACTAGAAGACCTCGAGATCCCTTCCCACTCAAGGATTCTATATTCCCAAGAAGTCAACAGCTGAACAAACAGAAGAGGCGTGAAAAGGACTGTTCACCTGGGGTGTCATTTAGTCTAAAGCTGTCACACATCTGGTTTATGGGTCCAATTTAGCCCCATGGCCCTGAGCAATCCTTGGCATTTACTGTTGAGGAGTAATTTAGAGATGGACGTTTGACTACTAGATTAATGGATTAGAACAGAATTTCTCAAAAGTTGGTAACCATTAGACACCTGGACTTCAACTCCCAGAATTGAAGTCCTGGCTGGGAATTGAAGTCTACATGTCTTTAAGTTGCTGAATTTGAGAAACTGCCGGATTAGAACACACACAATAGCAAGGAAGGAGAAAAGGAAGGGATGCCTATAATTAAAACTTGCTATAATTAAAGCAGATCACAGACTAATTTCCTAGTTTCACATTGGTTTTTTTCCTTGTGTTATAGATTACAGTCAGCCCTTTGTGTATCACAACTTTGCTTCCCTTCCTTTGTGGGAATAAAAGTCTAAGGTATACAGTATTCTGAATGCACACAAACACGCGCATGCACACACACACACACACACACACACACACACACAGAGAGAGAGAGAGAGAGAGAGAGAGAGAGAGCGAGAGAGAGAGAGAGAGAGACTCCACTGTTAGTATGGAGTAGCACCAGGTTTTTGTTGTTTTAATTTGTGTTTTATAATTTTTAAAATGATTTGATTTTTTTTTAAATCTTTGGGAACCACTGGCTATATAAATTTTTTAATTCAACCAATCAATAATCAGTGAATGACTAAATAGGTTCACCAAGTTGTTCTGGTTTGCTGTGATTCTGCAGTTGCTTCTATTAAGATGGCAAAAAGCGGGGTATGTTTGCGTGTATGTGTGTTTTGATTCCATAGCTCTTTCTTTTTCACGGATAAGGAATTTAAATTAAATTAAATGGAAATTCATAGGAATTTCTGAAATGTCCTTCCTGGCAAAGATGTGGTTACAGACAGCACCAATCTCTCCAGCATGAAGTTTTGTGGGTCCAAAATTTGCTGGCTGATACTTCTTCCTAGCAACACAATTTATTTTAGCTCCACCAACTGTTCAGTGTACTGCCTGGTGCTAGACTTTTTTTTTTCCATGACAGCTTTTGAAAAGCTTAACAAAACTCACAAGAGGATTTCCCAATCCTTTGGTGAGCCCCTCTTGACCCCCTCTTCTTTGTGGCAGCCCCTTAGATATTAGAACACTGCTATCATGTCGCCTCTAGTCCGTCTGGAACTCTGGTTTAATGAAAAGAAGAACCAGGGGAGATATGATAGTGGTGTTCCAATATTTGAGGGATTGTTGCAGAAAAGAAGGGGTCAATCTGTTCTCCAGAGCACCTGAGGGCAGGTAAAGAAGTAACAGATGAAAACTAATCAAGGAGAGAACCAACCTAGAATGAAGGAGAAACTTCTTATAACAGCGAGAACAATTAACCAGTGGAACAGCTGGCCATCAGAAGTTGTGGGTGCTTCATTACAGGAGGTTTTTAAGAAGAGACTGGACAACCAGTTGTCTGAAATGGTATAGTGTCCAAGGTCCCTTCCAGATTCTATTCTATTCTATTCTATTCTATTCTATTCTATTCTATTCTATTCTATTCTATTCATTCCATTCCATTCCATTCCAATATTCTATTCTATTCTATTCTTCATTCTTCTATCCTACGCTATTCTATCCTACTCTACTCTACTCCACTCCACTCCTCCACTCATCTATTCTATTCTATTCTATTCTATTCTATTCTATTCTATTCTATTCTATTCTATTCTATTCTATTCTATTCTATTCTTCATTCTTCTATCCTACCTATTCTATCCTACTCTACTCCATTCCACTCCACTTATTCTATTCTATTCTATTCTATTCTATTCTATTCTATTCTATTCTATTCTATTCTATTCTATTCTATTCTGTTCAGTAGAAATGGCAAAGGAGGCTCTAACACACAAACACACACATGTACACACACACACAACTAAGGCGACCCTTTCTGTCTCCACAAAATCCAGGCTGCACCAGGTCTCATCGGACCATAACATATTTTTCCACTTGCTTTTGTCAGACTTAATGTCTCAAAGATGTTTTTTTCACGGGACAGCTGGATTTTTCCTTTGAAGATGTTTCACTTCTCATCCAAGAAGTTTCTTCAGCTCTGACTGGATGGTGGGGAATGGAAGGACGCCAGCATCCAGTCAGAGCTGAAGAAGCTTCTTGGATGAGAAATGAAACGTCTTCAAAGAGAAAAAAGAAAGTCCAGTTGCCTCTTGAAAAAGCGCCTTTGGGACAACTATGACCTGGATGACCTAGAATCTTGAAAAACTGTCAGATTTAATGTACGTTTTTGCAAAATGTAGCCAGGCGTGGATGCTTTTCTTTATAAGAAAAAGCTTTTGTCTTGCCAACCTATCCCATAGCCCAGATATATGAAGGTAGTCACATGTAGTACACAACTAGTACTTGCAATAAATGGCAATCCTTCTGTCAACACAGGCACAGAATGAATGATTAGGTTCCTACAGCATGCAAACTTCCTTAACCATTGTTTATGATAGCCACTGTCAACTTGGAGTTCACACACCAGGGTACAAAGTGATGTTGTAGCTTAGGGCTAAACCTCTCCAGGATTTGAATCTCACTGTATTTCTCTAGTTTTATCTGCCTCTACAGTGTGCTAATCCTAAATGTTTAAATCTGTTCTTCTCCTCCTTCTCCTTCTCCATGCTGTGTTTAGCTGTAGTTTTTTTTTTTAAAAATGGTTCCTAATAAAGAATGATCAATTCCTAATAATAATAAAAATTATAAGTGGAGAAGATAACAAAAAATGCAAAGACCTGCAAATAGAAATAGAACAACTGTGGCAAAAGAAAGCAAAGGTAGTATTTCTCGTTTTATCTGCCTCTACAGTGTGCCAATCCTAAATGTTTAAATCTGTTCTTCTCCTCCTCCTCCTCTCTTCCCCACCCATCTCCTTCCTTCCTTCCTTCCTTCCTTCCTTCCTTCCTTCCTTCCTTCCTTCCTTCCTTCCTTCCTTCCTTCCTTCCTTCCTCCACCACCACCCTCACCACCAGAGTCCATACCAAGATTTCCTGTGGCCTGATCATTCGGAAGTAGACATTCCTCGCTTACGTCACCTGCCACCATCTCAGTTCAATGTCTTTCATTGGAGCTGAAAGTGACGTTCACCAACTTGGCTTGGGAGTCTTTTGCTTTCAAGGAACAATGTCAAGAAGAAGCCATCTTTCTCCTGCTTCCCCATATAAAAACACCTCCAGGTAGTGTACAAAAGGCCTAGTCTTGCCCAAACCTTCATATGGTCAGCCTCGTTTTTTCCCAGGGACAGGAGACCTTCTGGTGTTCTCTCATCTTGAAAAAATTCATTCCTCTGGGGTGTATGTGTGTGTGTGTGGGGGGGTGTCTTGCTCTCTTTTTGGGAAGCCAGAGGGCTCTATACGGTTCCTTCCTTCCCCCCCCCCCACTTTGATCTTCTGCTCGTGTTTGCTCAGTCGGTCAACCCAGACAGGGTTAGCGTCTGAGGTCAGCTTCTCTTCTGTTCCCAAATCCTAGACATGAGGAGGAAAGATTCAGGTTACAGACCCCCCCCTTCCTCCTCCTCCTCCTCTTCCTCCTGCTTTGCTCTCCCCCTACACACACACACACACACACACACACACACACACACACACACACACACACACACGAGCTTTATAACCTTGTTAGCAGCTGGCCAGGCTTCTGATGTGTTGGTTCGGTGCTCCCCCCAAAAATTCCACTCACGAAAAACTAGGAGAGGATTTCTTTTTTTTTTGGTACTGTTTTGTTTTGTTTTTCCCGAAATACAACTCTTGGTTTGCTGGTGAGCCAGATCCAAGAGAGGCATCCTTCCTCCCTGGCAAGCCCCCATTCTTGTTATTCTGCGAGCAACGAGGCTCCCCAGTTGCACGTGAGAAGACCCTCTGGAGTGAGGAGAGACAGAGACCTAGAGACAGAGAAGACAAAGGAATCACGCAAGAACTGGGCGAAGTTGGGAGGCAGGTCTTGTGAAGGGTGGTCCTGGGTCAAGGATGCTGGTCTGGGAAAGGCCTGGCCAGCTTCGGGGCGCTGCCTGGCCTGGACCCTAGACCTGAAGGATGCTGAGAAGATGAGAAGATTCTCCAGAGAGAAGAAAGAAGCACTTTTTTAAAAAAAATTTGGGTGTCTCCTCTGCCAGACTGCTACCTCCTCTTCTTTCTCTCTCCTTCTCTCTCTCTCTCTCTCCCCCCCCCCCTTCCTCTCTTTGCAAATGTGATTGTTTTGTCTATCACACAGGGCAGAGTGGAAGACTGTTCCTGGTAGAGTGAGGGAGAAACACAGATAGGTTACAGGAGTCTGCCTCAGCCGGATGCTTTTCTGGGCTCCTACGGGGAAGCGACCAAAGGCAGCCGGCTGCCTGAGAAAGCTTGGAAGATCAGGGCTGCCTCTGGACTCCATGCTGCCTTCACTTCTCCTCTCTCTGCTCACTGTCCTGGCAGAAGGGGCCAGCCTCCAGCCAATCAGAACCAACCACCTGGGGATGTGTCCCAACCAGCTGAACCCCAACCTCTGGGTGGATGCTCAGAGCACCTGCGAACGGGAGTGCCAAGCGGATCAGGTGAGACATAGCAGCGGGCGCTGCTCCCCAGCTGTACCTTTCAGCCTGGATGGAGCAGAAGATCCGGTGGTTCTCAGAAAAAAAGGAGGCGGGGGGGGGGAGAAAACAGGAGCCGGAGGTAAAGAGAGATGACGGGGTGGATGAGCAGGGCAGCTTCTCCCGCAGAGGTCACTGGCCCTGCTGGTGAAGATATTGTTTGCCAGTTGGACCTCTTTGGGGGATTTTAAGTTTCTCGGTGTGCACCAGGTGGACAGCTGGGCTTCGCGCATCTCTCGTTCAAGAGGGTCTTTAACAGATCCCAGGAAGGAGTTTTTTTTTTATTGTAAATATTTATTAAGTTTTTTAAAATTTTACAAAAACAAAACAACCCATCCCCAAGCCTCCCCAACCCTCCCATTCCCTCCCCCGACCCTCCCAGAGCTGAACATAGGCTTAATTAAAATTTCTTCAAATAATCTAAAAGAAAATATAAAACATAAATAAGTTTTGAGGAGCTTCTGGCTAGATCTCCCCAACTGCCTGCTGGGGTTCCCTGGAACCAGGAGTCTGCAGCTCCGATTTGATGACAAAGGACGAGAGCTTTGAACACCTTCAGAGGAGAGAGATGTTCTGCCCCTGAGGTTCCTCCGAAGCATTCACAGCCTCGTTTTAAGAACAAGGGCGTGTGTAAACCTTTAGTAAAGTCATTTTGGGTCCTCCTGTTAGCCATTCAGGCAAATATTCTGCTCCCAGAGCAGAAACGGGACGCTTGAGGGAATCAGCCCAGATTGTGTCCAGTTGGTAACCTTTGTTAAGTTCTTGTCTAACCTTGTATTGGAGACAGGCTTCCTTATCAGTATTGTTGAAGGCTATGGTGGTTTTCTTGGCCGCCAAAAGATGTGCAGTTCTATTTAAACAAAAAGAGGGCTTTTTTTTTTTTCCCCTTCAGTTTTTATACACTTGGCTTGGTTTCTGAAACTGCCCAGCCAAGGACTGGCACCCATGGATGCAGGGAAGCGGGAACGAAAAATTTGGGAAAAGACAGTGGCAAAACCCTTCAATAGGTTTACCAATGGAGATGGGTGTGGGGTCATCGGCCATCAACTCCTACAGCCCCCATCTTCCTCCCACATTCCTTCTCCCAAAACTAAGCTCGAGAACACATACAAAGCCACAGTGTAGTTGTGGAGTGGGGTGAAATCACACCCCTCCCCAACTTTACAGGAAGAAAAAATCTTCAAAAGAAGTTGCTAGGATCTTTAGGCAGTTGAGTTGGGTGGGAAGGAGGAATTAAAGGGGAGCAGAAGTGAGCGGTTCCATGCTGGAGGTCAAGGGCTGAGGTGGATCCTTGTAATCAACAGCAGCTGCCCAAAAGAAAAATGCATCTTTTGTCAGCGGTGTGTTAAGGCAGAGAAGAGACGTGTGGGTGTAAACTGGGCTGCGGCTTTGCCTATCAATCTGGCCTTGGCTTGGGGAGAAGAGCTGGCGTTCCCGGAGCAGTTGTGTCCAACCTTGGCAACTTTAAGACTTGTGGACTTCAACTCCCAGAATTCCCCAGCCCGCCCTGCAGCTTCAGCTCTGGGAGTTGAAGTCCACGCAACTTCAAACTGCCAAAGTTGAGAAAGACTGCTTGAGATTACAGGTTGTCCTCAACTTACGACCACGATGGAGCCCAACATTTTTGTCGCTGAGTGGGACAGTGGTTAAGTGAGCTTTGTCACATTTTAGGACCTTGCTTGCCGCGGTGGCTAAGTGAATCACTGCAGTTGTTAAGTTAGTAACATGGTCGTAAAGTGAATCCAGCTTCCCCATTGACTCAGTTTGTCAGAAGGTTGCCAAAGGGGATCACGTGACTCCCTCCCCAGGACACTGTGCCCGTCATAAGTATGAACCAGTTGCCAAGCGTCTGAATTTTGATCATGTGACCACTGGGATGTTGCTGTGGTCATAAGCGTGAAACATGGTCATAGGTCACTTTTTTAGCGCCATTGTAACTTTGAACGGTCACTAAAAAAATGGTTGTAACTCTACCTCCACCATCAAAGCTCTGCAGGTTTCTTGTACCATGTTGAGAACTGCTTCTCTCTTCCGTTCTTCTGGGGCTGAGAGAGCGACTGATCCTAGCTCACCCAACATCCTTCATCTCTAAAGAAGAACGAGAGCCCACCTTGCAGTAACCCAGAATGCTTGCTTGTTCCCTGTTTGTGGCTGCCTGGTGAAATCCACGCTGATGTGTTTTGAAAATAATTATTTAAGGCTATGTAATGGGAACTCAGCCTATGGTGATGCATTCAGCAAGACACAGATATGGGAACTGTGATTTAGAGCAGGGGTGTCCAACTGCCAGCCCGAGGCCCGGTTGCCTCATGCGAAGGCCACGTCCACCCCGAAAAAAAGTTATGATACGTTGCCACATGTCACGGGACACGGTGAGTTTGACACTCATGATTTAGAGCAACAAGTGAAGCTGAGCAGTGGCTGGGTTCACACAACATGGCTAAAGTAGAATCCTTGGTGCTCTTTGAGCTTGGAGGGTTTCTTGCAGACATTTCATTGCCAAACTAGGTAACCTCATCAGTACTAGAAGGGAGTGGCATTTGTGGAGAGGAGGAGGAGGAGAAGGAAGAGTCATCCTTGATTCTTTCTGAGCTTGGTGGTTTTCTTGCAGACATTTCATTAATAAACATCTTGGGTGCTAGAAGGGAGCGGCATTAGCTCTTTATTTTTATATACATTCATGCATTTATCAGTTTATATACATTCATATCCTCTTCTATTGCTATAACATGCTAAGTCAAAACTTGCTGCTGTTTATTGTGTTGTCTGAAACATCCGGGATGCTGTGCAAACCGGCCTAATGCATCCTGTAAATCTGGTCAGTTATGGATGAGCACAATGGGCTTCCCAACCATTAGAAGAGGTAGATTCTTGTTTGACTTGGGACAAGGTGCGTTCTACCTGTGCAATAAACCTCCCAAGAAGCGTGCTTGCATTAAAACATCTCTGTCTTTGTTTCCTCGACAGGATTGCGAAGGCTTTGAGAAATGCTGCACCAATGTTTGTGGCTTGCGGAGTTGTGTGGCTGCCCGCTACGCTGATGGAAGCGTCTCTTCGTTGGAACAGGTGCAGGAAGCCACCTGTGAGAGTTTTGTCTGCACCCAGCAGGGCTCGGACTGTGATATTTGGGACGGGCAAGCTGTCTGCAAATGCAAGGACAGGTGTGAGAAGGAGCCCAACTTCACCTGTGCCTCCGATGGACTCACCTACTACAACAAGTGCTACATGGATGCCGAGGCCTGTATCCGGGGCATCAGCCTGGCAGTGGTGCCTTGCAAGTATATCTTTACCTGGCCCAATACCAGCCCGGTGCCAGTGGAGACCACGACTCACCCCACCCCTGGGGCATCTCCGGAGCTGCCAATCCCACCGGCTCTCTACAACAATCCTTTCCACCAGCTTGTCTACATGGGAGGCACCGTGAGCTTCCACTGTGACGTGAGCGGGCGTCCTCGTCCCGACATCACCTGGGAGAAGCAGAGTGACCATCAGGAGAACTTCATCATGCGGCCCGACCAGATGTACGGCAACATGGTGGTGACCAACATTGGCCAGTTGGTCATCTACAACGCCCAGCCTGAAGATGCTGGAATCTACACATGTACGGCTAGGAATTCTGCTGGCCTCCTGCGAGCTGACTTCCCGCTCTCCGTGGTCAAGAAGGAACACTCCAGAGGAGAAGCACGAGTTCCTAGTACGTTGAAGCTCCCACCCAACGAATGCTTGAAGGAACCAGATACCCAGGATTGTGAGACCTCCCAAACCCGCTGGCACTTTGACTCCAAAAAGGGCTCCTGTGTTACTTTCCGTTACGGCAATTGTGGGGCGAACCAGAACCATTTTGACACTTACGAGGAGTGTCAAGTGGCCTGCGTCAGCCACGCGGTTAACCTGTGTACTCTCCCCATGGTGCAAGGACCCTGTAAGAACTGGGAACCTCGCTGGGCCTACAACCACCTGATGAAGCAGTGCCATTCCTTTATCTACGGCGGTTGCGAGGGCAACGAGAACAACTTTGACAGCAAGGAGAGCTGCGAGGACACCTGCCCCTTCCCCAAGACCTTGTTGTGCAAAAGCTGTCGCCTGAAAAGTAAGATGGTGTTGAGCCTCTGCCGCAGCGATTTCGCCATCGTGGGGCGACTGATGGAGATCATCGAGGATCAAGACTCTGGGATCGCCCGTTTTGCCCTGGACGACGTTCTCAAGGACGAGAAGATGGGCCTCAGGTTCTTCGACATCAAGTATCTGGAAGTCACCTTGACGGACATGGACTGGAACTGCCCCTGTCCCAACATGACCATGGAGGATGGGCCTCTTATCATCATGGGGGAAGTCCACGATGGCATGGCTGTCCTTGACCCCAACAGCTATGTCCGGACTGCCAATGACAAGCGGGTCAAGAAGATTTACGAGCTGCTGGAGAAGAAGGCCTGTGAGTTGCTCAACCGGTTCCAGGACTAGGGTGGGTTTGAGGGGAGGGAAAGTAGGCAGACAAGAGAGAGCCCCTCCTCAAAGGCACGGCCATCCTTATATTGTCATAGACACCAAGGACTGGGTGGGAAGATGAACAGATGAACTGCTGCCCCTTTCAATCCACAGAGGGGTTGCGTTCACACCACATGCTTAACCCAATCACTGAACTGATTTTTTTTTTTTTTGAGTTTTTCTCAATACTCGGATCTACAAACCAACCAAACCGGTTGGGTTCACACAGCACAAAAGGCAACTAATTCCACTCAAGTGTACTGACTACGTCTACAGGCAGCCCCAAATTTACTAAGCAAAACAGTTGTTAAGTGAGCTTTGCCCCATTTTACAATCTTTCTCGCCACAGTTGTTAAGTGAATCACTGCTGTTGTGAAGTTAGCAACACGGTCGTTAAGTGAATCTGGCCCCTCCATTGATTTTGTGCATCAGGTCGCAAGACCCCGGGACACTGCGACCACCATAAATGTGAGTCAGTTGCCCCGTGTCCAAATTTTTGATCATGTGACCCTGGAGAGGCTGCAATGATTGTGTGAAAAACGGTCATCCCTTTTTTTCAGTGCCATTGTAACTTCAGTCACTAAATGAGCTGTTGTACGCCGAGGTTGTAAGTGACTTGGTTTAGTGTGCTGGGGTGAAAATAGTCAACGAAGGGCAATCTACATTTCCCATCTTCAATCCAGGCCAGCTCTAATTTATTTTTAAATATTTTCCCGTCACAATCGGAACTCTTACTACGAGGAGGGCTGGCTAAATGCTTGTAAGGGTCTACCTACCGTCCGATTTTGTGTGAGCTGTAATTTATCCACAATCAGTACACCCCACTGCTGTACATCCTTCTCAGCTGCTCCAGTCTTTGTGAAATTAAGACAAATTAAACCAACAAACCGTCTTTCTTCTCAAACTACAGCGCAGGTCAACAGCTTTTTTTAAAAAAAATCCTTTCTTTAGTCAAATAGCACTGTTCTTGAGGACTAGCTTCCTAGCCTGGGTGAGCAATTGCCAATTTCTGGGGGGGGGAACATCATAAATCATGGTCCTGTGACTATAAGATGCTGCAAATGGCTGTAAAGGGGGCCGGTTGCTGAGGACCTCAAATTTGTCACGTACCACAGGGTGTGTGTGTGTGTGTGTGTGTGTGTGTGTGTGTGTGTGTGTGTGGCCATTGGAACTTCAGAACCAGATCGTAAGTAAAATCTGGGGAGAGGGAGTGTCTGTCATAACTTTGAAATGTTGCTGTGATCGATTATAAGTTGAGGACTATGTAAATTGAGGGGGGCGAAGCATTTTTCTTCACATTTTGCAAGCTGTTTTACTGTTTTCCTACAGCCCTAGAATTCTTTAGAGGAGACCCATCCAAGTTGTAACCAGGACTGGCCCTGCTTAGCTTGAGTGCAGATAAACGTGATCTAATACTGCCCCCTGGTGATACAATATCAGATTTACCTTTCCCAAGGGCTCCATTAGGTAAAAACCAAACAAATAGTCGTGTAGTGATGCCGAAACGTTACATTTATTTGCACCCAAATGCAGCACAGATTATGTAAGCTGCTGTTACCTTGATTTTTCGCCAAGGCTCTTTTTTGAGCGTATCACATCACCCCAAATAAGAATTAAAGGAACATAGATATGCCACACATCACCACTAGAGGGAGACATTATTCTACGTACAAATTAGAGAGACACGGATTTAATTTTCTTCCCCTGGATATAGAAAAGAGGATAATCTTCTCTTTTTACATTTTTTTTTTTTAAAAAGACATTTGAAGAAAGCCTGCAAGAAAAGAAAATTTTAAAAAAATCAATTATCACCTTTAAAGGTAACTCTGATCTGCCTAGGGACATGTGAACAGCACTGGATTGTAAACAATAAACACAAGCAGTTATGGGAGCAAAAAAAGTTTGGAAGTTATCCCTCTTCACACGTGAAGCGGTGTGCAATTCGTCACCTTTGAAACCAAACGAACCAACTTCTCATCTCTGCAGAAAACTGGGACAGGAATTTTTTTTCAAGCCAGCCATCCAGATCTATTGGATTACGAGACAAAATCTGGAGATCCACTGCAATCCAGCACATCTGGACAGAGATCTGGGCAACATCAACCCTGTCTTTCAGGCTGGTGTTCTACAGGAAGAGAGATGTTCATGCAGAAGGGACACTCAAACTTCCAGACTGTCAAACGTGCCATCTGGATGTTAGAATCAAAGGAACTTTAGAGCATGTGATTCATCTAAAAGGCCATGCATTGATTCAACCTAAGGCTCATTGTTTTAACATTAAGCATGGGGGGATCCTGATTTTTCCATCTCCCCAAAGGTAATAGAGGAGGGCATTGTTTTAAATTGAACCAATGGCATGAAATAGTGAGGATGGCTAGCTCCGGGGTTCATTAAGTCTTGCCCTAATGTAATATCATTGTTGTAATTAAGGAAGAAGTGGGAGGGGGAGGAAAGACTCCTGCCAAAATATTCATGGCAGGAGGACAAGCGGAGATATGCTTTCAACTAGAGAGGGGAGTTTACAAGCATTTTGCCTCTCACTTGATTTAAAGTCAAAAGTTTTAGTGATTTAGGAGGAAAGAAGAAATTGCCTTCCAGACTTCTTAAAGCAGGAATGTCCAACTTTAGCAACTTCAACATTTATGGGACTTCAAACTCTCAGAATTCTGCAAGCTGGGGAATTCTGGGAGTTGAGGTCCACCCGTCTTAAAGCATTATTCCTAAACTGTCATTCCTGAAGCCTCATCTCGTAACCCTTCTCCAAAGCCACAATCTCATCACAACCAGCCAAATTGCTCATCCCAACCCCAGCCTTCATGTATAAACCAGGATTTCTGGCTTGCCATGTTGTCCAAACCAAAACCTGCAGACATTTAAGGCACCCCGAAACCAGGATTTCAACCCTTGATTACATGTGCTGTGTTCTGGATCCACCAAGCCGGGACTGCTATGGAGGACCACCACACCACCACGCTTGCTAGAAGAGCAACTGGCATGCAGTGGTTTAACTGGGGAGATGGGCTTGTTAATTGAGCGTTCTTGTTTATGGTACCCGGGGAATACACCCTGTTTCTGAAGCTGAAGGGATGCCTCTATATTTGTGACGTGAGTGGCACAACCTGGAAATGAAAGCTTGAGTCTGAAGCATTAGGTCCAAAGCAGATAGTTGCATGACCATACTGGTCAAGACATTACATGAGCAGCAGTGGTCCCCAAACTCTCCTTCGTCAAAGGGTGCAAGCCTCTTGCGCCCAACTCCAAAGAAGCATTAACATCCTATCTCTCCATCCCCCCAAAATGAAGAACAACATGACCAAGAACTGGACCACAGTTCTTCCAGAAAGTTTTCTCCCCCCAGCTATAAATTAATTATGGCACTTGGTCCCATCACTCCATAAGGGCTTCCTTATGGATGTGACAAGAAGCAGAGTTCAGCAGGAGACAAGCAGAAGATAATCCTGCAGAGGGAGAAGACCTCCACAGCATCTCAAAGTGGTCCATGAAGACCTCCGCAGCATCTCAAAGTAGTCCATGAAGACCTCCGCAGCATCTTGAAGTGGTCCGTGGAGACAGCAGTCCGGTCACTTAGTGTTTGCGGAAAATGAGGCATTTGTTGTTTGCAGGCATGTCGATCTGGAAGCAGAAATTCTTGTGGTTTTTCTGGGCAATAAGAATGTAATTGATACCAGTTGCAAGAATATATCCCGCTGCAGGCTGGGGGCACTCAGGGATCCCAGAGATCAGCGGAAGGAGCTGAATTCCAAAGAGTTTAGCTAGGGAAAGAACTGACCCGGCTATGGGAAAGAAACTCAGCTTCTTTTAGGCAAAAGTCCTCTGTAGTCAGGCAAAATTGCTGCCAGAAATTGGGCTGCACAACCGTGTCATGGAGGCAGGGATGTTTGAAGGGTTGGTTGAGAAAAATCAAAGGGGCCAGCGGCACGGAGGCTTCAATCACATGGTCACGGCCGCCCTCTTGACTTGGGATAGCTCTCTGACCAGATTTAAAACTAAAATGGTAAAACCTGAGCTCTAGATTAAAAGTAAAACTCTAAAACTGACATTGTCCAAACAGAAGCAAACAAAAAACTAAACCGGACTCGAAACAAAAAACCGTAAAACTGAAGTAAAACAAAAACATAAACAGGAAAGCTGACACTGAAACGGCAGTTCTTCCTTTTCCAGTTGTAAACCAAATGGGATACTTTTCTGAGTTCAGCCTACCATGTTTTCCAACTGCATCCCATTGGCCACAGCAAGCTGTTCCAGGACAGTTGTGTCTCTGAGTCCCCAAGCTGGATTGCTGGTAAAGGGAGGGAGGGAGGGAGAGAGGGAAGGAGGAAAACAGAAAGAGAAAGAGGAGGAGGAGCAAGAGGAGAAGGAAGGAAGGAAGGAAGGAAGGAAGGAAGGAAGGAAGGAAGGAAGGAAGGAAGGAAGGAAGGAAGGAGGGAGGGAGGGAGGGAGGGAGGGAGAGAAGGAAGGAGGGAAGGAAGGAAGGAAGGAAGGAAGGAAGGAAGGAAGGAAGGAAGGAAGGAAGGAAGGAAGGAAGGAAGGAAGGAAGGAAGATCATTAGCCTTCTACTAAAAGAATAATTCTGCAACTTAAAAAACAAATTGCTTCTGGAAGAAAAATGGATATAAAGAACTCTCAAGAGACGAGATGAGGGCTGGTTGTTGACAGACAATGGCTCTCTGTGTGCCCCCCCTCCTCCCCACCACTCTGGGATGGTCCTATTGAAATCTGGCAGTAAAATGACTTCTGTGCAACAACACAACTTTTCCCCTTCTTGGTCTTCCATTTCCACTGAGAAGAACATCTGGAAATGGCCATGCCATCACTTTGTGGCAGAATTTGGGTAGCCCATTTTGGACATTAAATGCAGAAGTGGGAACACTGTCTTCTGAGGGCCCCCAACATCCATTCTTAATCTTTAACCCTCCCCGAGAAAAAACTGCAAGGTGGTGAACTCATTTCCACCCTTTTCCCAGAGGGGTGATCGCCCTCCAGCCAGGTTATCAACCAGGTCAAGATGAGGGCCACAGTTGTTCAGCTGAAGCTGTGCCCCTCTTTAGGGTGCCACAGTGTGCACAAAAGGGACCAACTGCATCTGGACTTTTTTGACACTCACAAACATACGCATGCAGAAAACCTCACTTTGCGCTTGCTCACCTCTGCCTCAACCAGTTATCAAAATCAACGTTGCTCTGTGGAGTGATGGAACCATTCACCGCGTAGGGCTGTTGAGCACAGGAGCAAAACAACAACAACAATTGTTAGATAAAGTCATCCATCCTCCAGCAAAGTGGGAAGTCTCTCCCCTACCGGGAGCATCCATGCCCTCCACAGTCAAAAGAAAAAATGGAAGCAAGGAAACTAATGGAATATTGCAGCCAATTTTGGTCACCATATCACAGAAAAGATGTTGAGAGTTTGGAAAAAATTCAGAGAAGAGCAACTAAGATGATCCAAGGCCTGGAGACTAAAACATACGAAGAACGGCTGCGAGACTTGGGTTTGGCCAGTCTAAAGAAAAAAAGAAACAGGGGAGACATGATAGCAGTGTTCCAGTATCTGAGGGGCTGCCACAAGGCAGAAGGGGGCCAGGTTGTTCACCACAGCATCAGAGGAAAGGACGAGAAACAATGGTTGGAAACTGATCAAGGAGAGAAGCAACCTGGAATTAAGGAGAAACTTCCTGACAGTGAGGACAATCAACCAGTGGAACATCTTGCCTCCAGAAATCGTGGGCGCTCCATCACTGGAAGTTTTTAAAAAGAGACTGGACAATCACCTGCCAGTGGTAAAGCTTGAAAACCAGGTTACTTCTTGCATCGACCTTGGGAAGATCAGGAGTAGCCTGTCTGTCTCTGCTTATTGGTTATTAAACTTACAGCATCTCCGAGTAAACACTTACTCCGTAGGTGATCATCACAGCTTTAGGTTTGAGTAGTTTTCCAGCTCCCTGGAACAAGCCCTGGACAAATAGGAGCCAGGAGGGAGAGAGGGAGGGAGGGAGGGAGAGAGAGAGAGAGAGAGAGAGAGAGAGAGAGAGAGAGAGGAGAAGCTATCAGTCCTGGAAAGAACGTCTATCAAGGATCGCGAAATAAATACGACATGATTCAAAGCAAAGCACTTATTCAGGTAGTCCTCAACTTATGACAATTGGGACCAGAACTTCAGTGGCTAAGTGAGGCAGCTGTTGTGCTCAATTTTATGATAGTTTTTGCTGGGGTCATTAAGTATGCAATTGCCTCCTTCCTAGAGCTGAGAGGTGATGTAAGGTCACCCAGATGATTTTCATGCCTAGAACTCCCGGTCTCCTGGTGATTGGCCCAAAGTCACCCAACTGGCTTTGATGGCTAAGGCGGGACTAGAACTCCCCGTCTCCTGGTGATTGGCCCAAAGTCACCCAACTGGCTTTGATGGCTAAGGCAGGACTAGAACTCACAGTCTCCTGGTGATTGGTCCAAAGTCACCCAGCCGATTTTCATGCCTAAGATGGGACCAGAACTCACCAACTCCCGGTTCCTAGCCTGGTGCCTTAACTGTGACACCAAACTTCCCCACAATTAAGTTGGTTAAAACAAAGCTTCACTGTACATTAGATTGTAAGAGGAGAGCCCTGTCAGTCTACACAGCAAAAACTCACAGGTTTGGTCCCAGATTTTTCTTAGCAGCTGACACGGCAAACTGCCTTTGAACAGAATTTGATTGTCGGAAAAAGTGCTACCAGATTTCTGATGTCTTTTTGCCCTTGACAAATCTAAGATGTGTGGACTTCAACTCCCAGAATTCCTCATCCAACAAGCTTTAAGATGGGTGGATTTCAGGGATCCTCAATTTTGACAATTCTAAGAGTTGTGGACTTCAATGTCCGTAAATTCCTAAGCAGCATGTTTTAAGAGGTGTTTCTCAGCCTTGAACTCTTAAGACATGTGGACTTTAATTCCCAGAATTCCCCAACCAGCCTGTTGGCTCTGGAATTCTGGAAGTTGAAGTCCACACCCCTTAAAGTTGCCAAACTCTGAAACACTGTTCTGGAGAGTCCCTGTTTGAGTAGGGGGTTTGACTAGAAGACCTTTCCCAGCTCTGTTATTCTATTATTTATTATTCTACAGTGCAGTAGCCTAACTGCAGCTGAACTTCGGCACAAATCCCAGCGAGCCAAAAGGGATTTACGGCTGAGCAAACTTTGAAAGTCCAGTCTCCTCACCTGGGTACACTTCATTTCTGAGATATGAATCATGTTGATGTTGACGATGAGATCCAAAGAATTGGGGCGCAGACCTCCCCAGGTCTCCCAGCTCTGAGATGAGTCCAGGTAGATGGGCGGTTTCACGTTTGAGAGGTGAAGTGATTTGATCAACGCCGAGATGCTACGAAGAGAGAGAGAGAGAAAGGAGAATCCGTTGACCGGTCCCACCAAATTGCAGAAGACGTTGGTGAAATCTCTAGGTGGGCAGTAAATATTTCGGAGGGGGTATTTCTCTACTGAAGCAAGCTATGGCGGTGGAGACCCAGGTCTCCTTCAGGAGAAGAACCAGAGAGATGGGACTTCTGAGTTGATAATTACAAGCTAAGCTATGCAAGGCAGGTTGACCTGACATGTCACTTGACTTCCTCCATTCAGAGTGATTACCGTTCCCTGGAGTTTGGGTAACATTCTCCGATCAGAGTTCTACATTTATTATTTCTCTTTGAAGGAAAGCACTTAATGGCTTAAGAAGAAGCGTTTCTGAAACTGACCCATCTCCAAAACTTAAAATCAGGTTGGTTCTCCTTTCCATCCCTCTTCCAAATAATCTAGTAAACCCTGACAGAAGAGAGTATTTGTGAGGGTTGAATTGTGGGGTCCTTGGTGCTCTCTGAGCTGGGTGGTTTTCTTGCAGACATTTCATGACCAAACTAGGTAACATCATCAGTGCTAGTAGGGAGTAGGGTTTGTAGAGAGGAGGAGGGGGAGCAGGAGGAGCGGGAAGAGGAGGACGACGACTGTGGGGTCCTTGGTGCTCTCTGAGCTGGGTGGTTTTCTTGCAGACGTTTCATGACCAAACTAGGTAACATCATCAGTGCTAGAAGGGAGAGGGGTTTGCAGAGAGGAGGAGGGGGAGCAGGAGGAGGGGAAGGGGAGGAGGGGAAAGAGGAGGAGGACTGTGGGGTCCTTGGTGCTCTCTGAGCTTGGTGGTTTTCTTGCAGACATTTCATGACCCAACTAGACAACATCATCAGCACTGGTAATGAAACATCTGCAAGAAAACCACCGAGCTCAGAGAGCATCACGGATCCCACAGTGTTCAACCCTGAGCTACAGATATTCTCTTCTGTTGGCACTGCGTGTGGATGTCGCTCTTCAGAAAGCACAGTAATGGGAGAACTTTGCAGACAGGCAGAGCTAGGACTGATGACGTTACCTAGTTTGGGAATGAAACGTCTGCCAGACAACAAGTGCGGAAAGCACCAAAGGCCAGCTCTGAGCTACAGAGAGCCTGTTGGAAAGCAGGCATATCATCGGGCAAACCGCCCCCCCCCAAAACCCACCAATAATCAAAGAATCCCAAAGGAAAAGCCCACCCATCCCACCAACTTTGGCAGGGCAAAGCAGAGCGTAGAAGCAGGGAGCAACACCAGCCCTTCTCTAGGAGGGTCCCCAAACCTCTGCAAGCCCACCCACCAGCTCAGAGAGCCCGAAAGGGAGGGGAATTCTCCCCCTCCTCACCCCGTGCCAACGGCAAGAGGGGCATGTGCAGACAAGGAGTGCCTTGCGGGAGAAGCCCACCAGCACTGAAGGCCAGGCAGGGGAAGCAGAGATGTGTGTGTGGGGGTGCTTCTCCCACCAACTTAAAGCTCCCCCCCCCCAAAAAAAGTCCCTCCTCACCTGGCCAGGGCTTGGGGATCCATCTCGGAAGGCTGCCACTCCAGGTTGGGCAGCGCTTGGGCGAAATGCGCCGCGTGCACCCCGCAGCCCGAGGCCACCTCCAGCACCTGCAGGCGCGGCTGGGCGCCCACGTAGCCCCGCAGGACGGCCAGGATGGGCTCCTTGTTGCGATCCGCCGCCGACGGGAAGCCCCTGTGCATGGCTGCGGGGCTGCTGAGCCGGCTCGCCCGATGCCCACGACCGCTCCCCCGGCTTTGGGCAGCTCCCCCAGCCCAGCCCGGCAGGGATCGGGCGCAGGAGGCGAGGGCTGCGCGCCTCCAAGCGCCGAGGAAGGCTGGAGGAAGCGGGGTCACCAGCCTGGGTGGGCGAAGGGTGCCGGGGGGGGGGGGGAGCGCAGCGGCGGCTGCTCTCGCCCACCTTCCTTTCCTTTCCTTGCAACGGACGAACGCCAAGCAGGAAAGACTACATTTCCCAGAAGGGAGTGCGGCGAGGACCCTCCCTGGTGATTACTGGCTGGCTCTGAAGGGGCGTGTCCTGGTTTTCCAGTTTCTGGGGGGGAGGGGTGGGATGGAGGGTGGGGGGTGGAAGAAATGCCAGCAACTCCCATTGCTGCCTAATCTATGCTATAGTGGCGACAATCTGTAGCATCGCAAGACCCACTGAGCACACTTTAAGCCCTTATAAACAGAAGAGCACCGACCTCCCCTAAAAGCTGAAGATGTTATCTAGCCTGGTAACGAAACGTTTGGAAACTAACCCACAAGCTCGGAGAACGAAGCGTCCCCCCCTCGCCCTAATCTATGCCACGGGGACTAGCCTTATCAATGCCTCTAGTCTTTCGTTTAAAAACAAAAGCAAAAAAACAGCCAGGGGGCTGCAATGGGAGCGTGGGACAAGCCAAGCCAAGGCGCTAGTCCTCAGGAGGCTTTGGCATTCTTGGCCCAAGCGGGGAGGCTTGTTCCAACAGAAGCACTCTCTGAAGCCTGCAGGAGAAAGCCCTCTTCTTACAAAAGCTTTATTACAAACAAACAAACAAAAACAACCAAAGGGGTGGGGTGCAGGAACACCAAAGGAAACCGCGATGAAATTTGCACATTTTTGCAAGGGGAGGGAGCAAATGCGTGGGAATGCGGAAGAGAGGAAAGGTGGTGCTGCATTGCGCTGTGCAAAGAAGGAAGATTTTGTAAAGGGTTTTTTTTTTTTTTTTTTTAAAAAGGGAGCTTGTGCGCCGCCCGGGAATCGAACCCGGGTCGCAAGAATGGGAATCTTGCATGATACCACTACACCAGCGGCGCAACTGATGGAACCTGGGTTTGCTAAAACCCTTTTGAAATTCAAGGGTGGCCTCTCCTCCCATTGTTGTGCAATTAAATCAAAGGCAGCGATGCCCTGCAGCTTGAATAAGGCAGGAATGGATGCTTGCAAGGTGTCAAAGGGCTTCGCCCAGAGGCTGCATTTTTCAACCCTGAACTCGGGAGGGAGGGGTGGAACAGCCAGAATTCCCCAGGAAACAGTTGGGAGTAGAAATGCAGTGGCTAACTTATATGCAGAGCATATCATGAGAAAGGCAGGGCTAGATGAGTCGAAAGTTGGAATTCAGATTGCCGGGAGAAATATCAACAACCTAAGATATGCAGATGATACCACTCTAATGGCAGAAAGTGAAGAGGAACTAAAGAGCCTCTTGATGCGGATGAAGAAGGAGAGTGCAAAAGTTGGCTTGAAACTCAACATTAAGAAAACCAAGATCATGGCATCCGGCCCTCTTAATTCCTGGCAAATAGATGGGGAAGAAATGGAGGTAGTGACAGATTTTATCATCCTGGGCTCCAAGATCACCGCAGATGGAGACTGCAGCCAAGAAATTAAAAGATGCTTGCTCCTGGGGAGGAAAGCTATGGCAAATCTAGACAGCATACTAAAAAGCAGAGACATCACCCTGCCAACAAAAGTATGCATAGTCAAGGCCATGGTTTTCCCAGTTGCAATGTATGGCTGTGAAAGTTGGACCATAAAAAAGGCTGAGCACCGAAGAATGGAGGCCTTTGAACTCTGGTGCTGGAGAAGACGCCTGCGAGTCCCCTGGACTGCAAGGCGATCAAACCGGTCAGTCCTAAAGGAGATCAACCCTGATTGCTCTTTAGAAGGCCAGATCCTGAAGTTGAAACTCAAGCACTTTGGCCACCTAATGAGAAGGAAGGACTCCCTGGAGAAGAGCCTAATGCTGGGAAAGATGGAGGGCAAGAGAAGAAGGGAACGACACAGAAGGAGGTGGCTAGATGGAGTCACTGAAGTAATAGGCGTGAGCTTAAACAGACTCCAGAAGATGGTGAAGTCCTGGATGAACATTGTCCATGGGATCGCGATGGGTCGGACACAACTTTGCAACTAACAACAGCAACAACAACAACAACAAAGCATGCTGGCTGGGGATGGGAACCATTGCAGTCCTGCCCCTAACCGTGGTTGTAAATCTAGGATCATCTGTAATTAAAAAAAAAAAACCCAGTTTGTGTGATGTCTTGGATTCATTTCATCTTGCCGCAAAACAGAATGAAGAGGCGTAGATGTGCCCGGCTTCAAGCAGAGCCTGTCTGTTCCCCAAGATAATCTTCCAGCACATTCTTCTCACCTATGACCCAGACATTAAATCCATTTGTAGGTCAATCCTTAACTTAAGCAAGATGGGTTTGCAGCAGGGCACGGACTTTGCACACCCAGGGGGTGTGTTTTAAGGACGGAACGCCACAGATCTCTCCAAGGAAACATTTGCAAACACGTATCTTTATTTATTTATAGTTAAGGAACATATTCTGGAGTTGTGGCTGTGTTGCAGTTTTTGGAATGGAGTTACAGTGTTTCCTTAGCACTCAAAAGGCTTCCTGGGTTTATTAACCTGAGAATTTTTCAACCCTTTTTAAAGTAAGCTGGTTCATATTATTCCTCACAGTAAATGCAAGGGTGAAATTAAATCCCTGCAGTATTGTTGCTTAGAAACTAGATGTGCCAAGCTATTAATCACTGAGTACATCTTTCTTTTTTTCTCTCTCTCTCTCTCTCTTTCTTTCCTTCCTTCCTTCCACTTTCTTTGTTTCTCTTTCTTTCTTTCTTTCTTTCTTTCTCTTTCCTTCCTTCCTTTCTTTCTCTTCTTTCTCTCCCTCCCTCCCTCCCTTTCCTTTTTTTCTCTTTCCTGCTTTTTGTAGTTTGTGCGTATATTTTCATGTTCTTTGTAAATCCTTTGATAAGATCTGTTTTAAAAACACGGAGTACTTTGCTTTTTGAAAGAAAGCACGGGAGAGAAGGGGCTTCAATCTCAAGGTCTACGGTTGGATGAAAGATGAGTGATTGAACAAATTAAAAAGCTCCTTTGCATCCATCCTATTATTAGCTTCTGCAAAATGAAGAAACAACAGCTTTACTAGAAGCAAGAGAGCTAGGTAGCTGCAAGGAGAAATTTAAACTTTCTCCCCAAATTAGTTTTTTTATTATTATTATTTGGATTTTTATCTTTATTATTTTTATAAACTGGTTTTAATTTTTATATTTTATTTTTATAACCGGCAGAGAACACACCTAATGCTCCTTCTTCCAATTTTCCCCACAAAAACAATCTTGTGAGATGAGTTGAACTGAGAGGGAAAAACTGGCCCAGAGTCACCCAGCTGGTTTTTATGCCTAAGGTGGGGATTAGAATTCACCATCTGCTGCTTTCTAGGCCAACACCCTTACGCCATGCTGCCTTTCTAAGAGCCCTCCATGTTCTTCTCTATCATTTCTCTATAAACAAAGAGGTAGAACCAGCTATAAACGAATCCGGCGTCCCCATTGACTTTGCTTGTCAGAAGGTCACAAAAGGCAATCACCTTGAGCCCGGGACTCTGCAACCGTCACAAGTACATGCCAATTGCCAAGCCTCTGAGCTTTGATCACGTGACCTTGGGGAGGCTGCAATGATTGTTAGTGTGAAAATCAGTCGTAAGTCACTTTTTTCAGTGCCGTCGTACCTTTGAACAGTCTCTAAACTAGACAGTTGTAGTCAAGGACTACTTGTATTGTTTTTAAAACCAACTTTCCTGTGTGTTCAGAGAGTCAAGCTATTCCCCAAAGCCTCTGAAGACAAGACAAGAAGCAACGGATGGAAACTAATCAAGGAGAGAAGCAACCTAGAACTAAGGAGGAATTTCCTGACAGGTAGAACAATTAACCAGTGGAACAACCTGCCTCCAGAAGCGGTGAATGCTCCAACACTGGAAGTTTTTAAGAAGAGACTGGACAGCCATTTGCCCAAAATGGTGTAGGGTTTCCTTCCTGAGCAGAGGGTTGGACTAGAGCAGGGGTAGGCAACCTTGTTTCTTTTATGGCTTATGGATTTCAATACCCAGAATTCCTGAACCAGCCATGCTGACTCAGGAATTCTGGGAGTTGAAGTCCACAAGTCATAAAAGACACAAGGTTGCCTACCCCTGGACTACAAGACCTCCAAGGTCCCTTCCAACTCTGTTATTCTATTCTATTCTGTTTGGTTCTGTTCTATTCTATTCTATTCTATTCTATTCATTTTATCCTATCCTCTATTCTATTCTATTCTATTCATTCCTATTTCTATTCTATTCTACTCTGTTCTATTCTATTCATTCCTATTTCTATTTCTATTCTATTCATTCCTATTTCTATTCTATTCTCCATTGCATCTATTCTATTCTATTTTATTCTATTCTCCATTGCATCTATTCTATTCTATTTTATTTTATTCTATTCATTCCTATTTCTATTCTATTCGTTCCTATTTCTATTCTATTCGTTCCTATTTCTATTCTATTCTATTCTATTCTATTCTACTGTTCTATTCTATATTCTCTTCTCTTCTCCTCTGTTCTATTCTATATTTTATTCTATTCATTCCTATTCCTATTCTATTCTCTTCTCCTCTGTTCTATTCTATATTCTATTCTATTCTATTCCCCATTCCATATTCTATTCTATTCTATTCTATTCTATTCTATTCTATTCTATTCTATTCCCCATTTCATATTCTATTCTATTCTATTCTATTCTATTCTATTCTATTCCCCATTCCATATTCTATTCTATTCTATTCTATTCTATTCTACTGTTCTATTCTATATTCTCTTCTCCTCTGTTCTATTCTATATTTTATTCTATTCATTCCTATTCTATTCTCTTCTCCTCTGTTCTATTCTATATTCTATTCTATTCTATATTCTATTCTATTCTATTCTATTCTATTCTATTCTATTCTATTCTATTCCCCATTCCATATTCTATTCTATTCTATTCTATTCTATTCTAATTCTATTCTATTCCCCATTTCATATTCTATTCTATTCTATTCTATTCTATTCTATTCTATTCTATTCTATTCTATTCTATTCTATTCTATTCCCCATTCCATATTCTATTCTATTCTATTCTATTCTATTCTATTCTATTCTATTCTATTCTATTCTATTCTATTCTACTCTATTCTATTCTACTCTATATTCTATTCTATTTTATTCTATTCTATTCCATTCCATTCCACTCTACTCCATTCTATTTTATTCTGTGCAACTTGGATTCTGGAGCTATGGTAAATCATTGGGCTGAACTGGTAACTGGTGCTCACTAGAGGGCACACGATCAAAGACGTCCAGCCCTCCCTCCCTGTGACGGAAGTGTTCTGCCTAGTTCATGGAGTTGGAATTCTCAAGGTCACCCATATAACTTTGGATCTCTTTGGAGAAGAGAAGCAATCCTGTGCATCCATCTGGAGAATCACAAGGCGTGGTTTTGTAGCAATTTTCCATAATTTCTTTTTTTAATTCTTTTTAATTTATTAGCTTATAATACATAATGCAAAAATGCAAAAGGAAATAGTAGGAAAGGGGGAGGAGAAAGGGAAGGGGAAAGCATGGGGCAAGGGGGGGAGGGAGAAAGAAAAGGCATTGACTTTCAATTCCCTTTGGTGCCATTGAATAAGATAATTAGCATCAAACCTCAACTTTTTACTTTTGCGTAATAATATAAACTAGCCATTTTTATAACAACAAACCTATTAATCGGCTAAAACCCCCAAAATCAAAGTTTCATTTTTTTTCAAGCACAAAGTCCAGAAGCAGTTTCCAAGTAGGAACAAACTTTTTTTTTTTATTTAATGAAAGCATTCAACTGGGCCATCTCTGTTAACTTTTGCAACCATTCATCCATTGTGGGACTCAAAGTATCTTTCCATTGTTGTGCATAATCTTGCTGCCATCAACATATATAACAAAGTTCCAAACTTTTCCATTAAACCCAGAAGTTTGCTTTTTGACAACTTCTTAGTATGATACAATGAGCCTAGTTGGTATATTAATTCAATTAATAATAATGAATTTTAAATTTTATGACAATTGTAAATGTTCTTTTTCACTTTCTTTTTTCTTCCATGTAGTCATTTGTTATGTTAATGTTTTGGCGGCCCAGTCATGTATGTGAAATGGGCGACCTTATAAATGGAATAAATAAATAAAGAAGTAGAATAAAACATACTTCTAAAAAAAGGGGGGAAGACTCACATTTTTCTTTGGTTTAGAGATCACAACAATGGTAGGAAAGCTGGCAGTTTCTGTATGGTTCATAAATGAAGCTATGTACTTATTTACAAGCTTTATAAACTACTCATTTCAGAGGGGTACAAAATAATATAAGGTATAAATATTAAAAAAAAATAAATGCAGAATGTAAAACATAATGCATTACAATTTATAAGTACTCTTTATTAATATGAAAATGCAAAACGTATATATTACTCATATACATATACATATACATATATATATATATATATATATATATATATATATATATATATGTAGGTCTTTGGTTATTCGGGTTTTCTCCCGCGTAAAATTGGAAGTGTTTTGGCGACGTTTCGACAAAGTCTCATTTGTCATCTTCAGGCTGGTGTTTTCGGCTTCGTGCTTCTAGGAGCAATGTGTGATCGTAGCTGTTTCTATGATCACACTGCTACGAAACAGCTACAGGGGGGGGGGGAGAGGTAGCAGGAGAGATTCCTACAAGCATAGGCAGTCCTCGACTTACGCCCAAAATTTCTGTGGCTAAGTGTTAAGTCAGTTTTGCCCAATTTTATGACCTTGCTTTCCACAATGGCTAAGTGAATCACTGCAGTTGTTAAATCAGTAACACAGTTAAGTGAATCTGGCTCCCCCCCCCTTGTCAGGAGGCCGCAAATGGGGATCACATGGCAACTGTCATAAGTACAAGTCAGTTGCCAAGTGTCTGAATTTTGATCACGTATCCCTGGGGATGCTGCAAGAGTCCTAAGTGTGAAAAAGGATCATGAGTCTTCTTTTTTTTCAGCGCTGTTGTAACTTCGGTCACTAAACGAATTGTTGTAAGTCGGGGACCACCTGTAGAGACCTAGCTTCTGCCTTCCCCCCCCCCCCCGAACCCCAACCCAGACCCACCTTGCTCCTTGCAAGGTGACAAGAAGGGAACTTGCAACCGGCTGCGCTGCGCGGTACCTGCCCCTCTTATCTCGCGATTGCCCAGGCTCAGCGAAGCCCCGAGCCCTCGGCGCACGTGGGAACGTCCTGGGAACAGACCCAGGCAGCTCCCACTGGGCGCCTCCCTTGCGTAACCCAAGCCCGGAGTCCTGGCCAAAGCGCGCGGCGCCTTTAAAGCGCAGCCACGAGGGAGGCGTGTTGGAGGCAGCTCCGGCTGGCTGGCCCTGCGCTCGGCGGCCTTAAAGGGGACTCGCGCCTTGGCTGGCAAAGTGAAGTCCCAGGCCGGCGGGGGGGGAAGAGCCTCTGGCTGTGGCCGTGGTCCTGCAAGCGGTCGGGGACTCCGGCCGAGAGGCGGGGCGACCCTCCCCAGCGGGAGGAGCCTCTTTCGAACCCGGCTCCCGGGAAATGCCCAGCGGCGGGCTGGATCCCCTGCCTTAGGATCGGGAGCGCTTGAGTGCGCGCGTCCGACGCCAGGCCAGCCTGCTCCGGGGGACGCCGATGATGTACACCATAACCAAGGGCCCGAGCAAGCTAGCCACGCAGAGGAGGACAGGTAAGGCTTGGGGGAGGAGGGGCCCGTCCCCCCCCTCTACCCCTGATCCCGGCTGGACCCCAATGCCCATCTTCCCCGGCCAGCACGCCGGAGATCGGGAGTCGGGGGGGGGGTCCCCCTGGGAAAACTCTTCTCCTTGCCCCTTCTGCAAAAGGCGTCCGCCGCCAGCGCTTCCCTCCCCCCCTCCTCCTCCTCAACTGCGCTTGTCCAGTGTCGGGCAGTTCCCCAGGCCCGGAGGAGGCCCAAGCTATACGGGTCGTGTTGTCTCTCGGCCCGCAGGTCCCACGCAGCAGGTGGAGAGCAAACTGGTCGATCTGAAATGCCGGCGGCAGCAGCACCAGCACCACCAGCAGCACCACCAGCAGCCGGAGCTCAGCTCGTGGCCCCTGGCAAGGTGAGGAGGGGGGTCGAGCTCGGACAGGCCGGCGAAGCAAACCGCGGCGGGGAGAGGACGTCCCCGGTGCCGGTGACCTTGCGCTCTGCTTGCCCGGGGCTGGCTCCGCCGCGCACGGTCCAGCTGGCCCAACTGGGGGGGGGGACGCCCCTTGACGGCCAGGCTGGCCCGATCCCCGGGGCTGGGGGCTCTCGCCGCCAGGCTGGCAGCCTCCCCGGAAGGGAAGTGGAGGTGACCTTGTCGGATGGCTGCCTGCTGCCCTTGTGGCCACATGGCTCCCAAGGGGCGGGGGGGGGAGGGAGGGAGGTGGAGGCGGGGGCGGCGAGGAGGAGCGGGGTTACCTGCCCCCCCCCGCCCCGCCGTCGCCCCCCACCCCGAGCCACGTGGCTGCAAGGACAACCCCGGCAGGGAAGCGCCCGCCCGCACGTGCGCGCCGGAGGGAGGGGAATCTCCTGCGGGAGGGGGGAGTATGCGGGTGACGTCAAAGGACGTCACGAGGTGGGGGGGCGGATGCGGGTGCCCCAGGAGGCAGCCTTTGCCCTAGAGTAGACAGAGAAGGCCAAGGCAGAGGAAGCGGGGGGGGGGGTTTGCAGGGTGGTGCAGGAGTATGAAGGAGGCATGCTAAACCTGTTGAATGCTCGCCTTCCTCGGGTGGGGAGAAGGGGCTGAGCGCTGGGTGGCTGGGGCTGTTTTGCACCCTCTTGCACACTTTCGGGTGCCTTGCCACACTCGGCCTTTGCCTTTCTGGAGAGCTTGGCTTGGAAAACCTTCCTGGATGGAGAAAGAGGGATGTTCTCAAAGGTAGTAGCAATAGCAACAGCATTTAGGCCAGGGGTAGGCAACCTTGGCTCTTGTGTGACTCGTGGACTTCAACTCCCAGAATTCCTGGCTCAGGAATTCTGGGAGTTGAAGTCCACGAGTCATAAAAGAGCCAAGGTTGCCCACCCCTTAGACTTATATACCCCTTCACCATGCTTTACAGCCCTCTCTAAGCGGTTTACAGAGTCAGCATATTTGCCCCCAACAATCTGGGTCCTCATTTTACCGACCTCGGAAAGGACGGAAGGCTGAGTCAACCTTGAGCCGGTCAGTAATTGAACGGCCGACAGCTGGCAGTCAACAGAAGTAGCCTGTAGTACTGCATTCTAAGCGCTGGGAGTTGAAATCCAGAATTCCCCAGCCTGCCTCTAGACTTAGTGTTTTTCAACCTTGACAGCTTGTAAGATGTGTTAGACCAGCGGTTCTCAACCTTTCTAATGCCGCGACCCCATAATACAGTTCCCCATGTTGTGGTGACCCCCAACCACTTATACATCACTGGATGCCAGGGGTGTGGCCAAAGAAAAGGAGGAAAAAATGGCGGACAGCCTTGTTTGGCAACCCCCGTGAAATGGTCGTTCGACCCCAAATGGGGTCCCGACCCACAGGTTGAGAACCACTGTGTTAGATACTGGCTGGGGAATCCTGGGAGTTGAAGTACACTAGACTAGACGGTACTAGTTGGGATGGCTGATTCCTATGTACCTCTGCAGAGGTCTGGTTCAAACACGCATCAGCCTTTGGGTTTCATGTGATTCTGCTTGGATTCACAGGATGCACTAAACTGGAGTTGAATAGTTTATGATCCAGCCTACAGTAGAAATGCAATCTTTACTATTCAGTCTGTTGTGCTAAGTTTCGGAAATAGCATTTGTTGGAACTGGACTAAGGGTGAAAAATGGTTTTTTTACTCAAACGTGGCCCGTTTTGTACAAATAGTCCTCAAGTTATGACTGCAGTTGGGATCAGAATTTCCATTGCTAAGCAAGGCTGCTCTTAAATGCGTCATGCCTGATTTTACAACCTTTTCTGCCACCGTTGGTAAGTGAACCGCTACCGTCGTTAAATGGATCCACTGTTGTAAAGCAGATCCAGCTTCCTGCATTGACTTTGCTTGTTGGAAGCCAGGTGGGAAGGTGGCAAAGGGAGTGGTGGTCACATGACCCCCCAGAATGCTGCAACCATTGTGAATCTATTCTGGTTGCATTCTGAATTCTGATCACATCACTGTGAGGATGGCTGCAACGATCTTAGGGGCAAAGATTGGTTGCCAGCCACTTCGTTCAGTGCCGTTGTGACTTTGAACAGTCGCTAAACGAGCAATTGTAATTGGAGGACTTTCTGTATAAATTACAAGCTTCACGTCTTAATCTAGGAAACCTCCGCGTGTCTATTTGTATTTTAAACAGGTTCTGCAGCCTGAAAAATGTTTGAAAATCCCTGAAGTAGGTTATCGATACCACCATAATATTAATTGTTCACTTATTTGGGCATTCCTGGGTCGACAAACACAACAGTTGTGCATTGGGTAATCTAGAGTAAATTATAGCGTATTGTGTATTAAACTATAGATATGAGTAGACTTGCTTGTAGTAAAACATGGATCCGCCCTTGAGTTCACCTGATAACTGCCATTTTCATTACACAACAGCATTAGTCTTTAATTTTGATTGTGCAATTGTAATGCTGTACTGCACTGTACTGTACAACAGTTCATTTAGTGCAGTGGTTCTCAACCTGTGGGTCGGGACCCCATTTGGGGTCGAACGACCATTTCACGGGGGTCGCCAAACAACGCAGTCCACCATTTTTTCCCCCTTTTCCTTAGCTGTGCTACTCCCTTTTATTCTACTGGCTTTTGAAAGCCAATAGAATAGACTCTCTTGAATAGAGTCTAATTCTATTGGCTTTCAAAGCCAATAGGAATTGTCCAGGCTGTCTCTGCCCTGCTGAGCCCGCCAAAAGTCCCATTCTGCAAATGGTGCTGCACCCGTTGAGTAGTCCTCGACTTACGACCGGTTGGGGGTCGCGGCATTAGAAAGGTTGAGAACCACTGGTTTAGTGACTGAAGTTGCAACAGCACTGAAAATAGTGACTTATGACCGTTTTTCACACTTATGACCATTGCAGCATCCCCAGGGTCAGGTGATTTTTACATTTGGATGCTTAACAGCTGACTCACATTTATGACGGTGGTGGTGTCCCGGAATCACACGATCCTCTTTTGCGACCTTCTGACAAGCACAGTGAACCAGATTCACTTAACCACCGTGTTAACTAATTTAACAACTGCAGTGCTTCCCTTAACAATAGCAAGGAAAGTCGTAAAATGGGGCAAAACTCGCTTAGCAAACTTCTCACTTAAGCAACGTAAAATTTGGGCTCAAACGTCTTTCTCCACACTTCAAAGGGCCCTGAAATAGTAGACAATGTTTCCCAGCGTTTAGAAAACCAAAGCAAAGTTATTACTTTGTGTCACACATTACTTGAAGCCCAGTCAGTCTTTTGTTTAGTTTGTTTCTGGCTGGTTGGATACTTGCAAACCCAGCCATTGTATGCTTCCCCCCCCCCCACTTCCGTTCGATCCTTGGAGATTGTCTGGAAAAGTCCCTGGACAGGTTTTTCAGAAATGGTTTGCCATTGCCTCCTTCCTAGGGCTGAGAGAAAGTGGCCGGCCCAGGGTCACCCAAACTGGTTTTATGCCAAAGGCAGAACTAGAACTCCCATAGCTGAACTGTTGAAAATTAAATGTGTTGTTGATCGCTGTGACCAGCTTTGCTGAAATAAAAGAATTGTGCAAGACCGTGAAGGTATCCTCCTACTTGGAAGATACCCAACCTCCCATTGACAAAGTTATCTTCCTTTTGGTCTATATAATTTATTGCCCTGCTTGTTTACTTATGTAGCAAGAGTCCAGAAAACTGCTTCATAAAACTCTCTTGACTTAATAGCAGCTTTTGCACAACACCTGTTAAATGATGTAACGAAATTAACCCATTTTCTGGCTAGGAAGGGTTCACTGAAGCATTAACTAATCCAGGGGACACCAAAGTGCCCTCAGCCTCTAAAACCAAAATCCTAAGCTAGAGAATAATTCGTCATTCTGAATTAGATGGGAAAACTAGGGAGAAATTACATTTTGTCATAAATGGCACTTTGTGGTTGAGGATCGTATATAAATTCATTTGGCTGCATTTGAAGGATAGGCTTGATCATGGTTAAGGGAATCATACTTTTCGTTAGGTGTCTACATTGATAACAATATGCGGGACCATATAGAAATCCCGTGGGCTGAATTGGTCCAACAAAAAAACTAAGATGTGATTGTCCAATTTCTGTCATATAAGCCTAGCAACTGTGAGCCATTAATCCATCATATGTCTTAGTGCTTTGTGTGCGTTCTGCAGGTGTGGTGTGTTTAAGCAATCACTGCTTAATGCAGTATTAAGACAATTGTACCATTGTATGATACTTTGTTCCAATGGTAGCTTGAACAGAACCCCCGCAAGTTTCCTCTTTCTATTTTTGCACAAGATTTTAGACCTCATGGAGTGGAGGGGAAAAAATGATATCTGGACACTGCAATTTTTAGGCATGGAAAGGGGACAGAAAACAGTGCAATTCCTTCTCTGGAGCTTTTTCTTCCCCTGAAGAAATGCTTTTATCTCAAAGTGTATTCAATAAAATATATAATTTGGCCCAGGAAGGCGCCAGAGTGAGGCCGGACACACCTAAACAGAGGTGCACATTGATCACTCTGATCAGACCTTGTGCTGCCTCAATTCCCACTGTTGTGTCTCTTTCAGCTTTGGTGTTGGCCAGTTTTACAATGACCGTTTGTTCTACTGACCTTGGAAAAATGTGTGTCCAGTTGCAAGGAGAATTTGGGACAGGGCCTGGATGGAACACGGGGAAGGAGGAGGGGTTGGGAAGGATGAGTAAACACCATGTGACGTGCTTATGTTGTGGAAGTGCCATCAGGTGGGAGAATCTGGGTCATATGCCGTTGGACTCCTGCCCCGGAGAACTTAGAAACTGGGACAAAGTCCAGAACCACATTCTAGATAAGTGGCTTGCATATTCTTGAACAAAAGGACAAGTCTTAGTAGAAAGAGGAGTAGAATTAGTCTTGCTTCTTCATTCAAGGAATACAGATAATCCTCGACTATCTGTTCATTGAATGACAGTTCAGATTTAAAGAGGTCAGATTGTGAGAAATGCCAGTGTAGGCTGAAATCTTACGCTTGCTCGTTAAAGTTCTTGTTTGCACCAATATAGATAGTCCTCAACTTAAAATAGCTCATTCAGTGACAGTTCGAATTTACGAAGGCTGAAAAAAGTGACTTGTGACCTTTTTTTCAGACTTAACAAACATCGTAGCATCCCCGTACTCACATGATCAAAATTCAAACTTATGACTGTTGCAACATCCCCATGTCACGTGATTTACATTGGGATGCTTGGCAACTGACTCATATTTATGACAGTGTCCCAGGGGTCATGTGATCCCCTTCTGCAATCTTTTGACAAGCCGAAGTCAAGGGGGAAGGCAGATTCACTTTAACAACGGGGTTACTAACTGAAGAACTGCAGCGATCCATTTAACAATTGTGGCCAGGAAGGTTCACAAATGGGGCAAAACTCATTTAACCAATGTCTCGCTTAGCGACATAAGTGTTGGGCTCAACTGTGGTCAAGTCAAAGACCTGGATGAGGAAAGAGAAAACACCTGTTGGATTGGCCTGAAGTGTAAACCTGAGCGGTCGGATTTGGGCAGATTCCCGAAAGGAAGGGCAAATTCTCACAAACGCTTTCCATCCGGAGTCGCCCAGAGTTTTGCTAGCGATTCCAATTCAGATTGGGTCTGCAAATTCAATGCGGAATGGATTTTTTGCAAGCGCCGTTCTAGTTCAAAACGGTTCTGCTAGAGTAGCGAATGGGAGGCGAGGAGGCTCCAGTGTGACGTGTGATTCTTTTGATTTTAAGCACAGAGACTCTCCTTTCATTAAGGCTCAGTTCTCCAGGCTGCCTCCTTGGAAGGACGATGCAATCTTCCGACTGTCCTGTGCCAAAGATTGTGGCTCTTTGACTAATCTGACTCGGGATTAGGAAAGATTAAAAATGGACTGTTAAGTCGCTGGGACCAGCCAGCGCAATAATTAGCTTGGATGGTTTAAGCCAGCGGTGGCGAAGCTATGGCACGGGTGCCAGAGGCGGCACTCAGAGCCCTCTCTGTGGGCACACACACCATCGTCCCAGTCCTAGGCCTTCAGCTGGGTTTTATAAAACCTTTTCGCTTTAGGCCTCCGCTGCTGTGTGTAAAAAAAAAAGGTTCAATCAATCAGTCAATTTCAACTTCTCACGGGAAAAAAAACCCTTGCAAAGTTGGAATTGATTGATTGAACTTTTTAGCCCCACCCAGTCTGCTGTTACAACTGCAGCCACGCCCACCCAATGGGCCACACCCACCCAGCACCCGATGATGCATAAGTGGGTTTTGGGTTGCAGTTTGGGCACTCAGTCTCTAAAAGGTTCGCCATCACTGGTTTAAGCTTTCTTCCTTTATGACTCTTTTGTTGGGCTGAGTTGTTGTGCGAAATGGGAGTGGTTGCATAAAATACACCCAAAAGGATCTTCTCCTTTTACTCCTGTTCCTTCCTACAGGTGGCCCTTAACATATGACCGCAGCTGAGCCCAAAATTACTATCACTAAGCAAGTGAGTTTTGCCCAATTTTATGTCCTTTCCTATCACAGTTGTTAAGTTAGTAACATGGTTGTTACGTGAATTTGGCTTCCCCGTGGACTTTGCTAGTTGGAAGGTCACAAAAGGGGATCACATGATCTTGGGACACTGCAATTGTCATAAATATGAGTCAGTTGCCAAGCGTCCGAATTTTGATCACATGACCGTGGGGATGCTGCAATTGTCTTAAGTGTGAAAAAAGGTCATAAGTCCCTTTTTTCTTTTTAAAAAATATATTTTATCGATTTTTTAACATAATCACCTTAATATTTGGTAAACAGCATGTTGTCTGGGTTTATATTTAAAAAACAAGCAAAATAATTCGTTTCTATAATTCTATAGTCCACATGGTAGCTTTGCTTGATTTTCTCTTTTTCCAATAATATTCTCTTTTGCCAATCTTGAATTAATACAGTTCTTATTATTCTGATAAATAACAATTAAATATAGGCATTTTTCTAATATTTCTGCAAATAATAACCACATCAATATAAAGCTTCTTTTCTAACTGATCATCCCTCGTCATAAGTCCTGTTTACAAAATTCTTGTTTAAGTTTGTTTTCCCCACAACGTTACCGGTTGAGATTTTCTCAAAGTTAATTACACTTAAGTATTTAAGTCTTTTTCCTCATACAGGCCAACACTTTTACCTTTCTCATGTCTTAAAAAAAAGAGAGAGAGAAGGAAAAGAAATAAGAATATAGTATACTACTTAAAATGCATGTCCCTCTTAGGCTAATGTACATTTATATCCAGAATTTTTCTCTTCTTTTTAACCATATTCAAACATATGTTTAATCTTTAAAAGTCCCTTTTTTCAGTGTGCTTGCAACTTTGAATGATCACTATAAGTCAAGGACTATCTGTATATGAACCCATCCATGATCTTGCCAGCAATACAGAAAGCATTTGCTACTGCTTATTTAGCAACCGCAACTGCTAAATTGTGACAATTTGGGGCAAAACTCACTTAACTGTCTAGTAACAGAAATTTTGCGCGAAATGTGGTCTTAAGTTGAAGACATCCTGTAGTAATTGTTGTTGTTAGTTATGAAGTCGTGTCCGACCCATGGACAACGTTCCTCCAGGCCTTCCTGTCCTCTACCATCTTCTGGAGTCCCTTTAAGCTCACGCCTACTGCTTCAGTGACTCCATCCAGCCACCTCATTCTCTGTCGTCCCCTTCTTCTCTTGCCCTCCATCTTTCCCAACATCAGGCTCTTCTCCAATGAGTCCTTCCTTCTCATTAGGTGGCCAAAGTACTTGAGTTTCAACTTCAGCATCTGGCCTTCTAAAGAGCAGTCGGGGTTGATCTCCTCCAGGACTGACCGGTTTGATCGCCTTGCAGTCCAGGGGACTTGCAGGAGTCTTCTCCAGCACCAGAGTTCAAAGGCCTCCATTCTTTGGCGCTCAGTCTTTCTTATGGTCCAACTTTCACAGCCATACACTGCAACTGTAGTAATTACTAGAAGTTAAATGCACATCAGGATTGACAGACATTTGATAAAACTGCTGGGAAAAGACCCTGGGAAGTTTTATATTTTATATTTTTAAGTTTTATATTTAAGGGGCAAAACATTTGAACTCAGTTTTCTTGGCAAGCTCATAGCCCGCAATGGAACTGTAATTTCAGTCATAAGTCATGATAGTCATAAGTCAAGGCACCCACATGACCAGACCCAACTTTAAAACCATTTTTATGGAGGCCATTAAGCGAATCATGTCATCGTAAGACTGAAACCATGCAGTGGTTAAGGAAATCATGCCGTTGTAAGTTCAAACCAGTTCCCCCAAATGGACATTGTTTTTGCCAGAAAGCAATAAACAGGATCGGAAACTAGAAAAAAGAAAATCTTCACATATGGTGGTCGTGTGAACTTGCTGTATTCCTAACAAAGCACAAATAAAACCCTATTATCTTCTGTTGTCTCTTGGCAGCCCACTCCCCAAGCTTGTGTTCAACAGGGTCAATGGAAAGAGACCCCCATTGATGATCTCACCCCCCACAACCACAGAGGAAAACTACACTGTAGCTCACGAAGAAAATGTCCGGTTTGTGTACGAAGGTAAGCTGGCTGCTGGCTGACTCTGGGAACAGGAGGCTTCAAATGTGGCTACTTGAAAAAGCGTGTGGACTTCAACTCCCAGAATTCCCCAACTCCTAGCAGGGGGGGCTGAAGAATTCTGGAAGTTGAAGTTTGAAAACCGCTGCTCTAGCAGGAAGTCGAAAGACTGGTGGAGCCCCCAATTTGTTTATTGTTGCATTGTTCTTGTCAAGGACACAGATTGAAGCTTAGAGAGCTGCAGGACAAAAAAACAAAACAAAACAGAAGACTGTTAGCATCCTTTTTGACTCACGTTTTGATGGAGGGAGACTATCCTTCAGCTTGGGTACCATTTCAACCTTACATCCCTCACCTTGGGTACCATTTCAACATTTCAACCTTGAGTTATGAGCACAGTGGAGCCCCAAATTTTCCATTGCTGGGCAAGACACATGAAGCGCCCCATTTTACGATCTTTCTTGACGCAGTTGCTAAGCGAATCGCTGCAGTTGATAACTCAGTCTCCCGGTTGTTAAGTGAGTCTGGCTTCCCCCGTTGACTTTGCTTGTCAGAAGGTCGCAAAAAAAGGCGATCACGTGACCCCAGGACGCTGCCACCACCATACTAACTGTGAGTCAACTGCTAAGCGCCTGAATGTTGATCACGTGGCCCTGGGGGATGCTGCAATGGTCGTGTGAAAAATGGTCGTGAGTCCCCTTTTTCAGTGCCGTTGTACCTTTGAATGGTCACTAAATGAACAGCTGTAAGTCGAAGCCTCCCTGAACTTTCTTTTCTTCCTGCTTCTAGCCTGGCAACAAGTGGAAGAGCAGCTGCACAGTCCAGAGCAGGGAGAAGGTGGATCTGGTCCAATACAATACACAGAGAAGACGCCCAGTCTGGAACTGAAAGGTGAGTAGAGAACCCCCCCCCTCCTTCCCAGGCCTTTGTTATTGTTGTTAATTGTGAAGTCGTGTCCGACCCATCGCGACCCCATGGACAACGTTCCTCCAGGCCTTCCTGTCCTCTACCATCTTCTGGAGTCCATTTAAGCTCACGCGTACTGCTTCAGGGACTCCATCCAGCCACCTCCTTCTCTGTCGTCCCCTTCTTCTCTTGACCTCCATCTTTCCCAGCATTAGGCCCTTCTCCAGTGAGTCCTTCCTTCTCATTAGGTGGCCAAAGTACTTGAGTTTCAACTTCAGGATCTGGCCTTCTAAAGAGCAGTCAGGGCTGATCTCCTCTAGGACTGACCGGTTGGATCACCTTGCAGTCCAGGGGACTTGCAGGAGTTTCTCCAGCACCAGAGTTCAAAGGCCTCAATTCTTTGGCGCTCAGCCTTTCTTATGGCCCAACTTTCACAGCCATCCATTGCAACTGGGAAAATCATGGCCTTGACTATACGCACTTTTGTTGGCAGGGTGATGTCTCTGCTTGTTAGTATGCTGTCTAGATTTGCGATAGCTTCTCTCCAAATCCAAGCAGAAGCCAAATAAATAAAGCATGAATAAATAAAAATCTCAATGGTACTTTTTTCTTTTCCTACGAAAGGCTCCTTGATGAAACTTCTCAGACAAAAAAAAAAAAGCATCTTTGAGACAACTGCGACTTGGATGATTGAGAATCTCCATAGAAAAATAAATAAATAGACAGCAGGAGGGGGGGGGGTTCCCTGGGGAGAAACCTTTTTAATTGCTCAAGAATCTTGCTTTCTCTCCGCACAATTTTTGCATAAAAGAGCCATTCCCCCCCCATGTGCTGAACTTCAGGACCCAGAATTCTTAGTCAGCCAAGCCAGTTGCTTGGAATGCTGGGAGTTGTAATCTCAGTTCACCCAGAAGCTATTGCATTGTGCAACAGCAGTTTAGCTGCAAGGATGTTTTTGCAAGAATCCTAAATCATCTGCAATTATACTTGACAATTATTGCAAGCTCTGATAAATTGAAGAAATTGGGAAAGTTACTCTGTAGCAGGGGTCTTCAACCTTGGTCCTTTTATAACGTGGATTTCAACTCCCAGAAGTCCTTAGCCAGCGTGCCTGGCTGAGGAATTCTGGGAGTTGAAGTCCACAAGTCATAAAAGGGGCCAAGTTTGAAGACCCCTGCTCTATAGCAGTGTTTCTCAATCTTAGCAATTTTAAGATGGATGGGCTTCAACTCCCAGAATGCCCCAGCCATCCAGCTGGCTGGGGGATTCTGGGAATTGAAGTCCAGTCTTTTAAAAATTGCTCAGGTTGAGAAACAGTGATCTATGACCTAGGAGAAAATCCAGGGATGGAGAACTGTGTTCTTCTGAGTGGTGATGAACTCCAAGAACCAACCACCCCAGACTGTATTATTTTTATATTTGTATTAAATTTATTTATTAGTTTTTTGTGCCACCCATCTCCCATGTAAAGTGACTCTTGGTGGCTTACAGTTTATAACAAAGGTCTTCAAACTTGGCAAGTTTAAGACTTGTGCTGGCTGAGGAATTCTGCGAGTTGAAGCCCACAAGTTTTAAAGTTGCCAAGTTTGAAGACCCCTGTATTATAATAATAAGAAAGCAGGGTGGGGGGTTATAATTCATCACTTCTGAAGCAATGGTTCTCAACCTGAGCAACTTTAAAATGAGTGGACCTCAACTCCCAGAATTCCCCAGCCAGCCATTAAGCTCCATTCTGGGAGTGGAAGTCCACAACCTATTTTAACGTTGCGCAGGTTGAGAAACATGACTCCGACGGTTTGATAGAAAAGAAATAATACACTTAAGCAGCTTTAAGTGTGTGTGGGGGGAGGGGGGTGGCCTTGCAAATTCTAACTTTCCTGTTCCCTTTTTCAGATTTTGTCCCCATTGACCTTGAAGATTGGTGGGCTCAACAGTTCCTGGCCAAAATCAAGAATGGCTCTTAAGGAAGACACGAGCGGCCGCTTTACAAGAGAAATCTTCCAATTCGCTCTTAAGAAAACGCAGGCGCATCGGAGTGCAGCGAGAACTGGACAAATAAAGGGGGAGGGGGCCGACCTGCCGCTCAGCTGGCCTTGGAAATGCTGAGAGGCTCCATTGCCCGGAAGAAGGCTGCAGACCATACATTGTGAGGATGCCAGGATGCCCAGAGAGGGGGGCACAAGGGGGGGGCATTCTTCTCCTCCCTTGGGCCTGGCACCCAGCACCAAGTCCATTTTGGTCCCGGAGTCTAGACTGTGTTCACAATAAACACACTGATCCTGTCAGTGGTACAAATGCAGGTTGAAAAGAGTTTTTGGTGGGGGTTGGCCTCCCTCCCCAAGGACGGTTCTCACAAAAAAACAAAAGGAAGTGAAATGCCAAGGAGAGGCAGAGAGGCAAGTCCAGCTGCAGTTATTCAGAGCTGCCAGGATCAGGCACTGGGGAAACATCAAAAGACCAGCTTTGTCAATGTTTAGATCAGTGGTTCTCAACCTTTTTAATGCCGTGACCCCCAACCGGTCGTAAGTCGAGGACTACTCAACCGGTCATAAGTCGAGGACTACTCAACTGGTGCAGCACCGTTTGCAGAATGGGACTTTGGGCGGGCTCAGCAGGGCAGAGACAGCCTGGACAATTCCTATTGGCTTTTGAAAGCCAATAGAATTAGACTCTATTCAAGAGAGTCTATTCTATTGGCTTTCAAAAGCCAATAGAATAAAAGGGAGTAGCACAGCTAAGGAAAAGGGGAGAAAAAATGGTGGACTGCGTTGTTTGGCGACCCCCGTGAAATGGTCGTTCAACCCCAAATGGGGTCCCGACCCACAGGTTGAGAACCGCTGGTTTAGATGATCGTAGGCTGGGGAAACAGCAAAAAGCAATAGCATTTAGACTTATATCTACTACCCCGCAATGCTTTACAGTACTCTCTGAGCAGTGTACAATGTCAGCATTATTTGCATAGGGCCCCCAACAATCTGGGTCCTCATTTTACAGAAGGATGGAAGGCTGAGTCAACCTTGAGCCGATCAGAATCAAACTCCAGGCTGTGGGCAGAGTTTGCACTCTTAACCACAGCATCACTCTGCCTTCAGTCTCCGGGGCTTTGAATTCCAGTTGCAAAGAGAAAGTTGAGTCCCTGTGCCTTCCCTCACCCAGCACAGGAGCCCCCCCCCCCAAACCTGAGTACACAAGCCACAGGCTTTGCAAACCATATCGTGGCTTAATGTAAGGTCCTGGTTCATACCCTGTCAATATTTAGGTGAATGTAGGCTCGGGCAGTGCCATCAGCTTCGAGCGCTTTGAACTGAATTGAAGCTGTGTTTGATCCCCATGCCATGCCCCATACAACACAGGAACTCCTAAACCTGGGTGAACAAGCCACAGGCTTTGCAAATCATATTATGGCTTAATGTAATATTAATAGAACTCGTTGGGTTTAGCTTAGGGTTAACCCAAAAGCGGGCTTTGTGAGTTTGGAGGTGGTGGGAGCACAGCGAGTGTCCTTTTGTCCAGTCTTCCAGTTGCTCTTAGCAACTCCACCACCTCTTCCATGCTAAACATTTAGAGGGTTTTTGTGTTTTTGTTTGTTCTTCTTGGGAAAGAACAGGTAAGTTTCCTTCTTGGCTGGCATTTACAACACAGAGCAGAGCGGGCCCAGCCAAAACTGTTGGGAAGAATTGTGTCATTTGTCTTGCAAAATCCTCACCTGAAATTAAACAACCCGTTTCCAGTTGAGGGCTGGGTTCACACGCTTGTAGGGCAAAGGTGTGGGGGTGGATTCAACCCTGAGCCCAACCCACCTCACAGGGTTGTGGTGGTGAAAACAGGAATGAGTTCTAGGTACCTTTATTTATAAAAATAATACAGGATAAAAATAAAGAAATAAACAAGACAGCTGTATAACAGCGTGGTGCCTCCTCACCCTGCCTCCGAAATAAACAGAAATCTGCTCAGATAATTCCACGTTCAACATTTAGTACTTTTAGGTCCCATGACAGCTATTGGCTTCTAGACTTTGGCTCCAAGGGAAGGAATTTAGGGGTGCCTAAAAAAGGCATCGCCAGCAGAGCTTGTTTTTTCCCCCCTAGTGTGCCAATGCCATTCCTTAATATAGGCAGTCCTCAACTTACTACCACAATTGGCCCCAAAATTTCTATTGTTAAGTGAGACAGTGAAGTGAGTTTTGTCTCATTTTATGATCTTTCTTGCCACAAGTTGTTAAGTGAATCCCTGCAGTTGTTAAGTTGTTAAGCAAATCAGGTTTCCTCCATCAGAAGCTGGCTGGGAAGGTTAGAAATGGCGATCACATGATCCCCTGGACACTGAAACCGTCATAAGTACATCCCAATTTCAAAGCAGTTGAATTTTGATCAGGTGACCCTAGAGATCATAAGTGTGAAAAACAATTGTAAGTCACTTTTTTTCAGCGCCGTTGTAACTTTGAAATGAACTGTTGTAAGTCAAGTATCAACAGATGTGTGTCATGTGTAAGGAACACTCTAGAGTCTCCATCTTGAAAATCCAGTTTATTTTCTTGTTCTGAGATGGGGAAATGTCACCACTGCAACTGACTTCAATACAGAAGAGCAGTGGAGTCAACAGACACACAACTGAGAAATGAACTCATCCCTTGTCTACTTTTGACCTTCGTTCTTTCCACTGGGGATAGTACTCCATTTTGGCATGCAGACACAGAACGTGCCCAACCCAATCTAAACTTCAGCCGAAATTACGGAAGAGGAAAATGTACATATAAAAATACACACACACACACATTAGAAACCATAGTAGCTTATGGGCATCTTTGTGGCTTAATCCGTGGCAAGTTCACCACAATATTTCACACAGCCAAGAGCAGGAGAGGAAAAAAACGAGACACCTCCAACCCTTTGATTCCCCCTTTTTGCTCAGCTAAGATCACTGTGGTCTAGCGTCTTGTGAAGGATGCAAAGACAGACCTGAGAAACCAGAGCGCAAACTGGATTCATACAAACATGCACACAGAGGCCCAACACACAGACACACGCGCGCACGCATACACTGTGCAAAAATGCAGGGACTTGTGCAAAAGGAAGGGAACCGTAGTGTGAGCCAAAGTACCAACTAACCAATCAGTCGTGACAAAAACAGCTGTGAACAACTTAAGAATATTTCGCACAAAGCTTTGGGAAAAACTGAAACCCTATAAAAGGTGGCTAGACACGGAGAGCGGAACGAAAGTGGCCCATCGTGGCCAAATCGTGGCAGGGATCCTGGAACATAGCCAAGCAGGGCTTCATTTTTTTTCCCCCATATCCCAATAATTCAGTGCAGAAATTAATCTGGCGATGCAAAGAATTTTATCCCTTTCCCTCTATTGAGAAAACATCTTTTTTTAAAAAAAATTGCAGAGAGAAATGAGTGCAATAATAATAATAATAAAATGTGACGGTGTAGAAGTAGGTAAAGGGAAGCTCCAAAAAGTTTGCCCGATACAGATAGTCCTTGACTTACGACCACAATGGAGCCCAAAATATCTGTGGCTAAGTAAGGTGGTTAATTTTGCCCCATTTTACAACCTTTCTTACTACACTTGCGAAGTGAATCACTTCAGTCATTAACAACACGGTTGTTACGTGAATTTGGCTCCCCCCCCGTTGACTTTGCTTGCCAGAAGGTCACAAAAGGAAATCACGTGACCCCAGGGACGCTGCGACCGTCGTAAAGTATGAACCTGTGGCCGAGCATTCGAATTTTGATCGTGTGACCACGGGGATGCTGCAACCACTGGCAGCGGCATCCTGAGGGTCAAAAATGACCATAAATTACTTTTTTTCAGTGCTGTTGTAACTTCAAACAGTCCCTAAATGAACGTTTATAAATTGAGGACTACCTACAGAGAAATTTGCTGGCTGGTGCTGTCCTTTTAGCTGAAGAACCTTTGCTAAGTTTTTAAAGCCACTGATGCATTTGGGGGGGGGGGTGATGGTCCCAAGAGCAGAGGGGGGGCTTCCTTTGAGCCCTTCTACAAGGAGGAATTTTTCCGTGCAACTTGCAAAGACGGGCATCAAATTGATCTTCTGGCTGAACCTCGGTTGGGCAACACAACGGTGCCTCCTGTTGTGTATCTGCTGCAGACTACAGCCAAGCTGGAAACCAGTGTCTTGAGCTGCACAAACTCATCACGTGGCTGACAGTGGGACATTACCAATCACTGGGGCCTATGAGATTCAGGAATCAAAGAAACGGGGAAGAAAGAATCTCCTCAGCTATATCTTTCTCACTCTGCTTGAAAAAAGGAAAAAAAAAACCTACCCCAGCCCCCCAAAAAGCCATCTTATTATGGTGCCTTACCATTGACTTGAAACAGCCAAATCTACCAACACAGAGACTAGTAAGAAATAGTCCATCTCAACTTCTTCTGGGGGGCACTGATTCTCTTCCTCGCCCTCTCCAATTTATGGGAAAGGGCTACCATTATGAGCCTTGATGGGGATGAAATATGGAGGAGGAGGAGGAGGAGGAATCTACACCACTTGCTGGCTTAGCCTTGGTTGGCGTTTAGCGGGCTCTGCTGATTTACTTGTAACCAAGTCCAGTTGATTGGGGGAGGCCACCTAGAGTTGCTTGTAAGATGGGCAGCTCTACAAATGTTTAAAATAAATAAAGCCATCAGATTAAATTGTGCTCAATGTACCTGAAGCCTTAGCAGTGTGCAACAATCAAACCGTACATGGAACAGGAGGAAGCACATTGTTATTCCCATCACTGCTTTCCCGCAATTGGTATTCAGGGCTAGGGGGAGAGTGAAATGCACCCGGTTCCATTCCTTACAGATTTCCCTTTATCCTGTCGGAAAACAGAACTGTGCCCTGTGACAGAGAGTGTCATAAACTCAGGACTAACTGCAACTTCTCTCCACCTGATTTGCTCTCCTGAGCTGCCTTGTAACTCTGCTTCTTGTAGTTGTCGTGGGATTTTGAATGGGTGGTTTGCAATTTTAAAAAGCTAAAGAAGGGGGTTTTCAAACTTGGCCCTTTGATGACTTGTGGACTTCTGGGAGTTGAAGTCCACAAGTCATCAAAGGGCCAAGTTTGAAGAGCCCTGATCTAAAGCTATTAAATTGACTTTGTAAGGAAGTTCTTTATTAAGGGAACTAAACTTGGTAGTTTTGCTTGTCTGTTTAGGAAGCAGGTCCAGATAACACGGTATGTATGTTTAAAACGAGTTGGATTAGACGGGGTAATTTTGCACAGAAATGTCTTCTCAACAGGGTGGAGGTGGGGAATAGGTTGATTAATCTGATAAGCCCTCGCCCTGCCCTCCTATTAAAAGCATCAACAGGACATAATCTTAGTGGAAGCACTCCAGACCTTTGAATTTGGGATTCAACCAAGGAACCGGGAATGAGCCGGAAAGCAGGTGGAAGTGGCAGAAACTGTACTCCAATCAAACCAGAATTAATGGGGGTTGGAAAGCAGCTATTTATTTATCAAGAGTAGGGCCTTTTGATACACGTACAGCTCGCTCTTGACTTACGACCGCAACGGAGCCAACATTTCTGTTGCTACGCAAGACCATTGTTAAGTGAGTTTTGCCCCATTTTACAACCTTTCCTGCCACAGTTGTTAAGGGAATCACTGCAGTTCATTAAATTAGTTGCACCGTTGAGAAGTGACTTGACTTGCCAGAAGGTCGCCAAAGGGAACACATGACCCAGGACGCTGCAACTGTCATTAAGTACATGTCAGTTGCTAAGCGTCCAAATTTTGATGCTGCAATGGTGACAGAGTGTGAAAATGGTCATAAGTCACTTTCCCACTGCCATTTTAACTTCGAACGGCCACTAAATGAATGGTTGTAAATTGAGAACTACCTATAAAATGGAAGCCATAAATGACTGTCCCATCGTTGAAAGGGGCCTTTCTAGGCAGCGTAACTCTATTGTGGTCTTTGACTGCAAAATAAAATCCACGTCTCCCTATGGACCAAGGTGGAGTTTTTTCTGCTGTTAATTCATATCAATGGATTTCAAATGGGGGGGAAAGTAGAGGGAGTCTGGGAATGATCCCCCATGTAGGATGATGCCCCCATAACAGGTTGTGATGCCAATGCATAAGAGAGAACGCACTGCCTTTCCGAGTTTCCAGAAATAGAGCTACGGGTTTCCTTTGCCACATCCAGCAAGTTCACAAGAGTTAGCTGGCAAGAAAATGGATCTTCAAAATGGATCTTCTACCTTGTGGAAGCTAGCAGCAATTTGGAGCGGATGTGAACGGCAAACTAAGCTTTCAAAGGCGATCGCTCAGAATCAGCTTCCTCAGCTTGAATGAGTTCTAGAGGTACAGATATCAAGTTCCAGAGTTCTCCAGAATGGCATGCTGGCTGGGGACTCCTAGGCCCTGGAAGTCCACATCCACCTTGAGGAAAGTTTGGGAAAAGTTATTCTAAAGGACCTCAAAGGCAGCTTTGCAACGAGAAAGCTCATGAACACGGCTCGTGATCTGATGTTCATGAGATCTTTGGAAAGCAGAAGAAAAGAGACTTGGATACTGGTGTGTGCAATGCGAATGCTGAGGACTCTGTATAATTCTCACCCAGAAAGTGGAGATACTAAATCTTTCTTTACTACTTCTTGAAGAGCAGAGTCCATTCCCTGGGTGCAGTCTAGGGAAGGCTCAGAATGGCTTGCTTCTTTCACGTATGTGCTTGCTCTTTCACCATCCAAGGGATGCAAAGCCTCAAAAGAACCACGAGTGGGTACCTTCTAAAGAGCTTGGTCTGAACATACAGATATGGATCACAATCATTTGGATGAATACGTGCTGTCAGCGCTCCAAAACTGCGGACGTGCGGGCGGGCCAACGACACCAACGCTGCTGCAGTGGGAACTTCTCAAGAAGATAAGATTGGGAGGGTGGGAAAGAAAGAAGAAACTAGTATCCAAGCATCCAATATGCTGAATTACGGAACTGTCCCAGGATTCAGGGTTAATTGCCTCCACGACTGCTAGTAGGCAAGGCCCTCCCATCATCATCATCATCATCAAAGTGATTGAGAGTTGGTAGGACATCCCAGCTGCCTCGAAAGATGGTTAAGCATTCCTCCTTCTCATGCCTCACACAGACAAATGGACATACAACACAGCCACACAACCCATGCACTCATCCTCATAAATGTCAGTACGGCGGTGTACCACTTGTCCAATGAGAATATGTCCATTCTTTTTTGTCGTTGGAGACATGGCTGATACTATAAATTACCTTCTCTTTGTATACTATCTTATAGGCAACAGGTCAGTCCACGAAAAGAAGCTGGAGAAGACTGGACTCATTTCTCACGATCTTCCGTGTAATGCTGGAAACGCGTGAAGCTCATGAAGACTTGCTCCAAGGAGATTTGGCTTACAGAGTAATCTTCTATGCAGTACTTCACTTTGGCTTTCTCAAGTGTCCCAAACACCTGGGAGACACAAGACACACAGGGAAAGAAAGGGGTAGTTAACAGTTCCAAGCCACAGCCTCCATCCAAGGTTTAGAAGCTTGTAAGATAGCAAAGCCAGTGTGGAAAAAGGACGTTGGAGTTCCTACTGAAGATCTTTCGCTTTCATTTGTTGATCTGTTCTAAGCCCTTCCCTGATGGATCAGTTTTATATACAATATTTTCCTTAGTGAGAAAGAAATTTCCACCACTGGCCATCGCTCCAGCCTTACCTGTGCCCAACTGAGGTTCTTATTGGTGAGGTGGTAATGGACCATCCCCTGGTGTTCATGCTTCAGGATGCTCTCTGGGAAAGGGGAAAAAGAAGATATAGCCAAGTCATCCACATCCCCCCAAAACCAATTTGCAGTTGTTATTAACTGCGGCCAACAATTTGTTGAAAATCTCTGTCTTGTACCTTTTCTTCCAAGGTACCACTCTGAATTTTAATGTCCCAATTAAATGTTCTGCAATAGGCAGACTACAAGTGTCCTATGCGGTCAACCCCACTAGGTAGACTAGACCAGTAAATCAACTGGTCCCAAGTAATCTTAAAAAAAGGAGCAAAGTATCAGGGCCATGCTTTAAGTTGCAGTTCAAGATCTATTGCTCAAGTCTATACACAAGAATCTAGTCAACTGCTTGAGACAATAAAGGATACTCCGTTAATAAGTGGGGATGTATTAGGAAGAGAAATAGAAAATGTTTATGAAATAAGAATATATTTAAGTAAGTAATATGCATATTTTAAATATTATAACTTTTATGTAGTGAAATAAAGGAAATTTGGGTTACTCGAAACTTAAATACGATGGATATTAAAGGTTAAATTGGAATACTGCAATTAAAAATTAGGTAACACTTAAAAACAGGATATGGATATGTATAAGCAAAAAACAAAATGATAAATGTTTTAACTGAGTTGGATATAATTAGAAATTTACTAGTTTATGATATAGCAAATGTTAAGGAAAATAGAGAAGGAATTTTTGATAATGTAACCTGAGATATATACTAAAGATTTTGTTATTGAACTATTGATTACCCAATCACCATGTTGCTTTCCAAATACTCAAATGTAAAACTGGAAAACCAATAAAAATTTTGTAAAAAAAAAAAAAAGAATCAGTACTAAACTGGCATCAGATAAGAGTCAACAAAATTCAAGGTGGGTCGAACTTGGACGTTTGTGACAACATAATGACTCTAAGCTGATGACACCCTTAACTCCATCCCCCACAGCTGTGTCTGCTCTTCTCCTACAGATTGGCTGTAATAACCAAATCTTGCAAGTCTGATTCTGCTGGACCTTCCTTCCCTCCTTATACTTCAGGGAATCAGGGAGGTGTCTGCCTGAATCACTTCTGAATGTTACCTTGTTGCTCTGGGCTTGTTTAAGTGACCATCATGATTATTAAGTGAAAAATTGTTTGCTGTGGGCTGGTTTTGTCAAAAACTGGAAATAAATGTCATTTTTTAGAAAAAAAAATGTAGTAAAATATGCTCAAGTGACCATGGAACATGCAAACAGCCATAAATGCAAGTTGGTTGCCGAGCACCCAAAATGCAATCATGTGATCACGGGAGCTGGAGACGTGATGTTGGAACTTCAAAACCAGGTTTCAAGTTCCATCATAACTTTGAATAGTGACTGGTCATTAAAGACTGTCTGATCTGATATGAGCACCTGGAATACATGCATGATCACAAGAAAACACTAAGGCAGAAGCTTGTCCAACCCAAGGATAAAACACCCAGACAAAAACAGTACAATGTAGTGAGGCATGTGCAAATCTGTACATTGGGGAAACTTCATACACTCAGGGCACAACACAGGAGAACAAACCCATCAGGACAAGAGTCAGCAGTCCATCCGCCTTTAAAAGACAATGGCCACTCTTTTGAAGATAGCAAAGTCCACATTTTGGACAGAGTGGACCGCTGGTTTGAGAGAGGGGTCAAAGAGGCCATCTAGGTCAAGACTGAACAGCCCTCTCTCAACAGAGGGGGAAGGATAGGACATCCTCTATGTCCAGTCTACAACACAGTCCTTTCAACAGTCCCAAGAAGGCTCCACGCCCATTTGCACCACACCCATTTGACCCTGAGAACACAGATAAACCTCCAAGTGGCCTCAACAGCTCTCCAAAAGAATGCAAATGACCAGCTGTCTGCAAGGAGTATAAATCCTTCCACTCCCCACCATCCAGTCAGAGCTGGAGAAGCTTCTTGGACGAGAAGCGAAACGTCTTCAAAGGAAAAACAAGAAAGTCCAGTTGCCTCGCGAAAAACCCACCTTTGGGATCACAAAGCTGGCTTACCGGGAAATGTCTTCTCCACAAAGGCCTTGAAGTCTTCTACGTGGCCTTCTTCATCGCAGTGGGTCTTGGCCACCAGCGTATAGCCACTGCCAAACTTGCTCTTCAGATGCTGAGGGCTACCCAGGCACTTGAACTGCCCATTGACCATGATGGCCAGCCTGGTGCAGAGAGCCTCACATTCTTCCATGCTGCAGGAGAAGGAGGCAGACGTTAGAGAGGGGGGAAAGGCAAACAGCAAGTGCAAAGCTAGTAAACGGCCCAGAGTGCTCAATTATGGGACGGATGGCATATGAGAGTGGTGGTGAACCTATGGCATGCGTGCCAGAGGCGGCACGCGGAGCCCTCTCTGTGGGCACACGCCATTGCCCTAGCACATGTGATCTCTAAAAGTTTGCCATCACTGGCTTAAGGCCAGCTAGCTTGTCTGGAGCCACCATTGGGGAGACCACCATCCCACCTGCCAGAGACCCCCCCCCTGGATCTCCCCCTACCCTGCCGGGCTCCCACAGGTGTTCCTCCCCATAAGCAACATCAAGGTGACCATGCCCACACCGGCCATGCCTATCCAATCTGCCATGACTACTGCAACCACCCCATCCAGTGGCCACGCCCATCCAGTCTGCCAAGCCCACTGTAGCTGCACCCGCCGAGTGGGCCACACCCACCTGGCATCCGGCGATACATAAGTGGGTTTTGGGTTGCAATTTGGGCGCTCGGTCTCTAAAAGGTTTGCCATCACTGGCATATGAATTTTAATAAGTACGTACATAAAGACTTGTAGGCGTAGGAAATCTGAGACCCAGCAGAAGAGCTGGATTTGAGTGGCAAAGAAGTATCCTACCTTAGGGCTTGGTCCACAAGCATCCCTTTTTTTGAAAAATATTTTTATTGCTTTTAAATTAGCAACAGAAAAAGAAAGGAAAAGAGCAAAACACAGATATATACCAACTCATAACTGGTACTTAAAAAAGTAAGTAGAAACAGAACTACTTTAAAAAAAAAAATCTATAATGTTATAATGGTCAATAGTGCAAGTGTCTCTGCATGTGTGTGTTTGTGTGGGCACGTTCGTATGTACAGTATGCGTGTGCTTTTATATACATAGATAACTATCATGATTATACATTATACATTCCAGACCATGTCGACTGCATTGCCAAATCTAAGCTTCCTGCTACCCCGAAAACATGGCATGCAACTGAAACACGTTCAAGTGCAGGATATTAAAAGATAGTTTAAAAAAACCCAGGGATTCTCTGCCCTCACTCTGAGAATTGCTGGAGAATTCTGGGAGTTGACGTCCACAGATCTTCAAGCAGCCAAGGTTGAGAAACATTTCCTTAGAGATTGACAGAAATCCATTGTTTTGCCCCAGGATGATGGAAGACAAAGAAACAGAGCCAACCTGTGAGATGTGATAATGATGGACTTCCCACACTCCCGTGTCCGAGTGACTGCATCCCATAATAGGCGCCTGGCAACAGGGTCCATGCCGGTGGAAGGTTCATCCAGGAACACCACAGGAGGTCCACCAATGAGAGAAATTCCTGCACTCAATTTCCGCTTGTTCCCACCACTGCAGAGACAGAGGGAGAAAGGTTACCTATAAGAGTTGCCATCAGCCATTTCTAATCATGAAACAAAGCCCCTGTTCCCACTTTGTCCCACCTCCCATCATGGATGAGTGTAGGAGGTGAACCCACCTCTGGTTCAGAAGGCTTCTCACCTGAATGTGCGGATGAGTTTGTTGGCATAAGGTTCTAAGAGCAACCCACGAAGCATGTTCTCCACACAGCTGCCGATGTAGCGTTCAGGGATGCCCCGCAGTCGGGCGTACATGCTCAAGGTCTCTCTCCCTGTCATGTGATCCAAAAGTGCATCAAATTGGGGACAGTAGCCAATCCGCTGCTGGACCTGAAGGCAGATCAAATCAAGTTGAGAAGAACATCTCTAGCCTACCTTCTTATGGGAGGTGATACTAAACTGGCAGGAATAGCCAACACCCCAGAAGACAAGCTCAGGATCCAAAAAGATCTGGATAAATTGGAACAATGGGCCCTATCCAACAGATATTGCCAGCAAACATTCCTTAGAGTCCCAAAATTGCCAGAACTGGAAGAGTTTAATCTAGAATAGGAATCCATAACTCTGACAGCTTCATCAACAACAGCTGTTGTTTTCTTTTTTTTTCTTTCAGCCACCCTGTAATCCCTTGCATCAGGATGGAATCGGAGTGACCGAATGGAGCTGAGCGTTTACTGGCTGGATGCCCTTCCTGACGCCTATGCAGTGTTCACAGCAGACCATTACTCATTGCACCCAGAGAGAGAAATATCTACCACTACCAAGGATCAAAGTCACAGCCTCCTGATTATGAGGCGAGAGCGCCACCTCTAGGCCACTGTCTCGATTCCCCCATTACCTTTTTGATATTGGCCAGGATGCTGTGTCCATCCACATAGGCATCTCCTGAAGTGATGCTCTCGTCTCCCGTTAGCATCTTGAAGGTGGTTGTTTTTCCTGCCCCATTGAAACCCAGAAGACCAAAACATTCTCCCTTGCTGACTGCAAGAGAAATTCTGTCCACAGCCAGACAAGAATCCCTGCTACTGTAGACCTGGAGAAACAAAAGTGAGGGGGGGGGGAAATGGTATCAGATGTACAACATATAAAGCTGGCGTGATTGCTGCTAATATTATTCATTATTACTTATTTTTATTATAAATGTGGACTTATAAATAATCATGTATTATTATATGCTATTGTGATTGGTTGCACAGTCAGACTGGATTTAGTATTTTGGGGTACCTATCGAGTCCTTCCCAAGGAGGAATGGGACAACTCTCTGAGTCAACTCGCAATGACCAACTCAACATGGCCAACTCAACATGGCCAACTTACCACAGGACAATTCAACCATTCAATTTAATTATTTAAAATAGTTAAACATTGTTTTAATTTTTGTCATTTTGTCCCTCCCTTGGCATCCTTTCTTGAATGATTCTATTCCAGTAGTTCTTCAATATTAGTATAACTCTATGGTAAGTTGGCCATAGCCAATTGTCCCATGAGTTGACTGCAGTGAGTTGGCTACGGCGAGTTGTCGTAGACCCCTCCCAAGGACCTGGGATAGACAGATGTGGTTGTTCGATGGTCTGAAAGATGATCATCTCAACACGTAAGCTGTTCCAAGTCAAGCAATTTTTGTCAATGCCGAAGGTGTTCAAGTGGCGCTACTTTTTTTTTGTTATGGGTTGTTATTTCACTGCTTATAATTATTACGATTAGTGCTTTATGTTACTGAGGGTGATGGTGAAGATGGCTTGGTTTTCAATTTGTACCTTGCTTTTCTGCACATCCCACTTGCAACTGATTCACTAGTGCAACGATTCTCAACCGTGGCAACTTTAAGATGTATGGACCTTACTTCCCAGAATCCTGAATTTTGGCAGCTGGAGTCCACATTTCTTCCTGTTGTCAAGGCTGAGAAGCTCTGCTCTAGTGGTTCTCAATGTTTTCCACCAATTCCAGTAACAAAGAATCCGAGTCCCACCATGATTCAAGCTAAAGTTTAGTGTAGTGTAGTAATTTGGTGCAGTAGTTAAAGCACCAGGCAAGAAACTTCTTTAAGAAACGAAAACGTAGGTATGGACACTATCTTGAGCTGACCCAAAATAAAAGCAGGATGAAAATCAAATCAATCAATAAGAGCCAACCCTTTTTCACAGAAAGCCAGTTCAATATTTAGAAGGGTTCTGTTATCTTTATTGCTTACAATGAGATTTAAGGATTTAAGGGTGTAGGGTTTCCTGCCTGAGCAGGGGGTTGGACTAGATGACTTCCAAGGTCCCTTCCAACTTTACTACTACTACTACTACTACTACTACTACTACTACTACTACTACTACTATTATTATTATTATTATTACTTAATTCCGGAGAAACAATATAAGCATATAAATTCTGTGAGGCTCATTGCATGCTATTTTTCCAGCCTTGCCCATCCTACCACAGAATTACTTTGTAGGTTTCAGGCCCAGTTAGGACCATCTACTATTTCTTAGGAGAAATTGTGGGTTTTTATTTTTTGTTTTTTTGCATAGAAAGTATGTACTTCAAAAGTGGTTTACATTATTTTGATGGGGTTTCGGTGAGAGATAACGTTTTGGAAGCTGCATTGAACCTCTACCTTGGTAAGCTCCTTAATCACAAGAGGACTATTCAATGAAGAAATGGATGCTGTTGGTGATTCCAGCACCTTCTTTCTCTCATCAGCAACATCCCGGTCTTCTGGAAGCACCGGAACTTGGTTTAGCAGCATAACCTATTGAACAGCATGAAAAACCAGCCAAAGAGAGACATCAGAAGCAAGTTATTGGAAGGGACACATTCCGTCTAAAACAAGCTGGAGGGCAACACTGAATTAATAATTACACGCTCCGACACTGCTCCAACACTGCAAGTTTTTAAGAAGAGACTGGATAGCCATTTGTCTGAAATGGTATAGGCCATAGGGTTTCCTGCCTGAGCAGGGGATTGGACTAGATGACCTCCAAGTTCACTTCCAACTTTTATTATTATTACTATTATTACCATTACTATGGATCATCACACAGTCAGCCAGATGTTCAGACTGGATTTGGCATTTTGTCTACCTATCGAGTCCTTACCCAGGACCTGGGATAGGCAGATGTGGATGTTTAATGGTATTACAGGTATCATCGCAGGATGGAAGCAGTTCCTAGTAAGGCCGCCTTTTGCAATTGACTAATGGCGAATTTGTCAATGCCAATGGTGTTCAAGTGGTGCAACAACTTTCCCAAGTTCACAGGGAAATTCACAGGGTGTTACTTACACACTTCTAGGCATATTGTTGCATCAGCTGAAGCCACCTTCCCCCTCCACCCATTACATCACGCAGAATTTGAGTGGGAAGTCTACTTAGGTGCAATATTGAGAAACTCCAAAGGACTCAGCCGAGAAAGGGATTCCTTTGTGCAAAAGCCTCACCCATTTCCGCCTCCGTCGTATGTCGCAGACAATGGTCCTCATTCTCCAGAGGAGGTTAGTCTCAATGAGAAAGAGCAGGAGAAGGAAGGAGAGCCCTTGGGCTGCCATAGCTGTCAAGTATTTTCCAATGCCTGGGCTTTCCCAAGCAAAGTAATTGGTCTGGTAGGAGATATCTGGAATAAGAAAGAGCAAAGAAAGGAGAAAGAAAAGGATTATTTCAGGAGATAGCAACCATTTGGTGGTTGAAGTCGCCACCAAACCTCTATTAGAGAGTCAAGGTTATGGTGCAATTATGCAGAAAGAGTTATGGGGTTGAGATGGATGGCGTCCCCGGGTTTCGGAGAAGAAATATATGGACTTTGCCTATTTTATGAAGGTTAGTCCTTTCTAACTGCAATAAAGATCAGAAGAGTTGAAGCAATGGTCTCTTGTGGGATAATGCAGGGCTGTGAAAGCTGGACAGTTGAGAAAGAATGAGGGAATTAAGATAGATGTATGAGTTATGGATCTCAAGTTGGTTACTGATAAAACCATGAGCTGGCAAAGAATGGGTGAGTCAGTAAGGACAAAGTTTGACTGATTCCTTGAGTGAACAATGAGCAAGTAGACATTTACGTCCTTTGGGCAAGTGATGGGAATGGATGAGGATGAGGATGAGCAAAAACAATGGTACTTGAGAACGTTAAGGGAATAGAAGAAAGGTAGGATAATAGATAAGGTCCATGGATGAGATTAATATTGGAATGATTACTAAATAAAGTTAGGATGGCAAACATTTATCCATACCTTCACCAGAAGCTGAACCGATCAATATCAATTAATTAATTCATAATACCTATCTTAAGAAATATAGTACATCAGAAGGTCTGATATAATGGTCTGTTGGGATGCTGGGAACTTTGTAAATAAACTAAAGGTTGATCTCTCTTCAGCTGCTTCATAACACATCAATGCATTCAGAGTGTGTCTATACATTGCATCTACCTCTGCTTGGTGCCTCTAGATCTGAGAATCTAAAACGGGGGTCTTCAAACTTGGCCCTTTTATGACTTGTGGACTTCAACTCCAAGAATTCTTCAGCCAGCATGCCTGGCTAAGGAATTCTGGGAATTGAAGTCCACAAGTCATAAAAGGGCTACGTTTGAAGACCCCTGATCTAGAAGAACATGAGTGTGCTTGGGATAAAACTTGGTTCACTCATCAGTCTGAATTCGAAGATCCGCTCAAATGCACAGCTGCCATGCCCAATAGCAGTCTCTTGTTAAATTCAACGTTGCCTAGGAAGCCAAATCTAAGATGATACTGTGTACTCACTAAACACTTTACAGATGACCAAGGATTCAAAAGAAGAAGTGCAGAACTGAATGAACTCATAATTCTGGTAGAACTTGCTGATGCTTTGTCCCAAGCAGTAGTTGGGCAGGATTAGGAAGACTTTATCTAATGTGTTAGACAGATCCACCATGCCAAGCTCTGAAAGAGAAGAAACGTGGGAAGAACACCAAGAACCTTGGTAGCTTAAAGCCATTAAAACAGGGGTCCCCAACTTTGGCCACTTTATGACTTGTGGACTTCAACTCCCAGAATTCCTCAGCCAGCCAGCTGAAGCCCACAAGTCATAAAGTGGCCAAGGTTGGGGAGCCCTGCATTAAAACCTGTCCAGCCAAGGTGACAAAGTCCAAACTCCTTACCAGGAATGCTCATGATGACGACTGCCAAGAACGTGGCTGTGCCGGAGAAGATGTTGAAAATGGTGAGGCGGGTGTAGGCTGTGGCTGCTACTGAAAAGAAGAAGCTGAGCAAGTACATGAGGGGGATAATGGCCCAGCCATACAGGAGAAATATCTGCATTATATCCACAAGATGGTTGTCCTCGGTGAATGCTTTGACGTCAAAGGCTTGGAAGATCACCTGAAGAAGAACAGAATAGAATAGAATAAGGATAGAATAAGGATAGGAATAGAATAGAATAGAATAGAATAGAATAGAATAGAATAGAATAGAATAGAATGGAATGGAATGGAATAGAATAGAATAGAAAATAGAGTAGAGTAGAGTAGAGTAGAGTAGAGTAGAGTAGAATAAGGGTAGAATAAGGATAGAATAAGGATAGGAATAGGAATAGGATAGGATAGGATAGGATAGGATAGGATAGAATAGTATAGAATAGAATAGAATAGAATAGAGTAGAGTAGAGTAGAATAGAATAGAATAGAATAGAATAGAATAGAGTAGAATAGAATAGAATAGCATAGCATAGCATAGAATAGAATAGAATAAATAACTTTATTGTCACTTTGAACATACACTAATCGGCATACATTAAAATGGAATTTCATTGCACACAGCTCTCAAAGGGTCACCACCTCCAATATACACTACATAAATATGAACAGAATACCAACAGAAATAGTTATTACAATTTAAGACCCAGAAGAATCCAGAACTTTGACTAACAACTGCTATCTAGAGCAGTGGTTCTCAACCTGTGGGTCGGGACCCCATTTGGGGTCGAATGACCATTTCACGGGGGTCACCAAACCATGCTGTCCGCCATTTTTTTCCCTTTTCCCTAGCTGTCCTACTCCCTCTTATTGGTGGCCACACCCACTTGGGGGTCACCACAACATGGGGAACTGTATTATGGGGTCACGGCATTAGAAAAGTTGAGAATCACTGATCTAGAGGCTTAACCTATCACTTGTCCTCTGGTCGCTAAAGGGAACAGGGCTCAAATGTTTACTTCCTCTGCCCTTCCCCAAATTAGGAACCTGGACAGGAAAAGTAACCATCTATCCAATTGCTCAGTGAGATTCATAAACACATTCTGGACTTCCATTTCATTTTGGACTAGCCAATAAAGTAATCACAATGGTCAGAATTCTCCATTACTACGAATGGAGCTGTGAATTCTGGATGTCCTTAATACCTAAAAGCGAACAAGTTAGAAAAGCCATCATGGAATCTAGGACGGTACTAAGGGCCAACTCTACTAGAGCGTCATATCTGAGTTCCAGAAGAGCAGGTAACCAACAGATGCCAGCAATGAGTAATACCTTCTATGATCTCTTTGCCCAACTTCAATCTATAAATCTTTCATTCTGATCTCTACTATTGTCCAACTACTGCTCAAATAACTCAGCCAGGTATTAATGCCATCTAACAGGTGTATACCCATCAAAATCCTGCATTTCCACATTGTTCCTTCACATGAAATTCAAAAATGTCTCCCTCCGTCAATAGAAGATTGATGGGTCTGCTGATGGACCCTTTTAGCTGGATCTTCTCCTCAATGCAATTCAGTGAAGCTTTTTTTTTGGAATCACGACACGAGCTATTCAGGAAGGACTCACCAGGATGAGGGTGCAGGGTATAAGGAAGTTGACGAGGTCCCACAGAAGCGCAGAGAGCCAAAAGTTCACCATGTAAACACCGCTGACAAACTGCACGTGCTTGGCTTTGATGGCTCTCTCGCTTACCAGAAGGAGTGCAAAAGTGCTGGACAAAGAGGCCATTCCATAGAGCAAGTTGATGGCAATCGCAAAACCCGTCTGGCTTCTGCAGGATATGACAGAGAAAGAGCACAATCAGCTGGAAAAACTGTGATTAAAAGTTGGATCCAGAAAGCATTCTGGTGGAACTACAATTGATCTGGGTGGGAATTGGGGATAGCTTGAAATGGGTGGGACTTGGTTGCTAAATGAAGGAATGGGCGTACCTATGCCATCTTGAGTTCTTAAGTGAAAGATGGGGTATAATCTAAGATGGGATGTAAAAAAGATGTTGAGACTCTAGAAAGAGTGCAGAGAAGAACAACAAAGATGATCAGGGGACTGGAGGCTAAAACATAAAAGGAACGGTTGCTGGAATTGGGTATGTCTGGTTTAATGAAAAGAAGGACGAGGGATGACATGATAGCAGTGTTTCAGTATTTGAGAGGCTAACACAAAGAAGAGGGAGTCAAGCTGTTCTCCAAAGCGCCTGAAGGCAGGACAAGAAGCAATGGATGGAAACTAGCCAAGGAGAGAAGCAACCTAGAACTAAGGAGAAACTTCCTGATAGTTAGAACAATTAACCAGTGGAACAGCCTGCCTCCAGAAGCTGTGAATGCTCCAACACTGGAAGTTTTTAAGAAGAGACTGGACAGCCACTTGACTGAAATGGTATAAGGTTTCCTGCCTGAGCAGGGGGTTGGACTAGATGACCTCCAAGGTCCCTTCCATCATCATCATCATCATCATCATCTGAAGCAAGCAAACAGATTAAAAACAAAGAAAGTTTGGACTCACTCCATGAGCTGGTCTTTTGCTGTTTCGGTCATGTTGCGAGGTTGTGGATAGTTGGCAACTGTGATGGAGGCGTTTGGTCCAGCTATTAGCCTCAACAAGGCGTTGTCCACCAGTAGCAACGCGGTGGCGGGAGAATGAAAGGCTTGGTTGTTGAAAAGAGCGGTTACTTCCATCTGTTTTGAGGTCTCTTGGAAAGAAGCTGCTGCTATGTGGTACTCATTAAAGGCTCCGGCTTCTTCGGATGCTCGAGAAATCAGGTATTCCTCCAGGTTCCCTGCAAGGACATCCATTTCATGGAGTGAGAAGTCCTCAAGAGGGCCTCCTCACTGACCAGCACCCTGCTTCAGCCATTAGCACTCCCTTATTGGAAATGTGGGACACACCTGCAAGGGCCATAAGCTCTAACTGTGAAGGCAGGAAGCCTTTTGTAGAGTGATTTTTCAGGTATTTCTACCCATGAAGACTACAGGGAATTCCTGGCTTACAATTGTTCATTTAACAAAAGCTCAAAATTACAGCAGGTTCAGAAAAAGTAATTTACAACCTATAAATTAGGTTGTGGTCTTTGCAAGCCATTATATCACCCATCCACAGGTCTTAAACTTGCCAAGGTTGGACACCCCTGGTCTAGACTGAAGCATTTTTTAAAGCCCAGAACAAAAAGATAACATTCAGAAGTGGCTCAAGCAGACAATTCTCTATTTTACTGGAGCATAAGAAGGGGATGAGGCCCAGCACCGCCTGACTTTGTTATTCTAGTCCATCATAATAAAAGTGGTTTTAGCCTTCCGCTGGAGCAGATTTCCTGGTCTACCTTGTGGGGTTGACTGCAGTCAAGCAATGATGTAGGTTTATGTAATGATATGTGAGAAAGACTTTGACAAACAGGACAGAGAAAGGAACGAGCAGATAAAAGAGGGCTTAGCCCACAGCTACATAATGGGTGAAAAAAAGTAGCTTCCTAGAGTCTCAGTCTGTAAAGAAAGTGGTAGGAGATTTAATACTTCTAAGATTTTTTTAATGTAAAGATCAATATAAAGCTTTTCTCTGTCCAGTTGTTCCCATCTCTAACGGGTGATGCTCATCTTCATTTCTTAGCTGAGGAAGCCAGCGTTGACTGAAGATGCTCCTGTGATCATATGGCCAACATGACTATATGCCAAGGCACAAGGAATGCTGTAACCTTCCCACTGAAGTGGTACCTGTTTATCAGACGTATCGGGACTGTTTTGCCATTGCTGGCAACGGGGTGGGTGCGGCTTCCGCGTGACGCGTCCGGCCTGCGGGCTGACAGTTTGACACCCCTGATCTACTCGCACTTGCAAATTTATAAACTGACAGGAAGACCTGGAGGAACGTTGTCCATGGGGTCGCGATGGGTCGGACACGACTTCGCAATTAACAACAACAACAACAACAAGTTTGACAGAAGCTGGGGCAAGTAACGGGAGCTCACCTGTGACACTTGGGTCTCAAATTGCCAACCTTCTGAACGACAAGCCCAGCATACTAACTGCTAGGCCACCCCACCCTTTCTCTTTTAATGTAGCCTTACAATAGAGTAGAATGAGCTCATTGGGTTTTCGGTCTGGTCTACCTGGAAAGGCTGACATCTTATGAGCACAAGGGGACCCCATCTTCTGAGTTCTGCTCTAGAAGGCAAGCTTCTGATTGTCACTGACCTACCACCTCCAATGGCTCCTGGCGCTGGGCACCCACCACATCCTTGTACTGTGCTGCCAGCCTCTCGCCCAGACTGGAGCCTTGGGAGACGGAGAAAGGCACTGTGGTCTGGCCGTATGGATTTAAGGTCAGCTTCAACAATGGAGAGTCTTGTGGTCCCGGGAAGGTCTTCGCGGCGATCAAGGCAAAAGCAGTGAAAATGAGAGGCACCAAAAACTGGGCTGCTACCATCTTCCAGTTGCGCCAGCTGTACACAGCCCTCTTCATGAACATGGCGTAGAATTGTTGGCAGCAGAGGTAGAACTACAGGAGAGAGGAGAGGACACATTTAGGCAGGAGAGTGAGTTTTTTGCAAACACTTTATTCCGGATGGTTAGAATCACCCAGAAAAAGGTTCTTGAAGTCAGAGTGGATTTCAAAGGGGGCCTGGAAGAATTTAACGCAAAATTAGGAAATGAATTCATGCACTTATGTCTTTTGCTCCTCCCCAAAGCTACCAAGACGGGTAGTTCTTGATCTACAACCCATTCTTTAATGATGGTTCAAAGTTACAACGGCACTGGAAAAAAGAGACTTATGGCTGATTTCAGCCTTACGGCCGTTGTAGCTTCCCCAGGGTCTATCAAAATGAATAGAGTCTACGTTGAACGCAACCCAATGGTGGAATTCAGCCAGTTCACACCCGTTCAGCAGAACCGGTAGCTATTTTTTTTGTTGTCCAGGCCCAGAATGGACTTCCGGAACCGATTGTTCACGTATTTGAATCCCACCACTGACGCAACCCCTCAATTTTCCATGACTAGAAGCAGAAAGTATCTGTCCATCTTATTGGTTCAAATGCTGAATCGTACTCTGGATTCACCCCTCAAAATTTGAAGAACAGTGAAAACATAGGCGGTCCCTAACTTAAAAGCATATTTACAACAGCTGCAGCATTATGGGCTCATGTGATCACCATTTGGGACCTTTCCAGGCTGACTTCCAACAAGCAAAGTCAGTGGATTCAAATAACAACAACAACAACAACAACAAAGTTGAAAGGTCATCTGGTCCAACCCCCTGCTCAGGCAGGAAACCCTATACCATTTCGGACAAATGGCTGTCCAGTCTCTTCTTAAAAACTTCCAGTTTTGGAGCATTCACCGCTTCTGGACGCAGGTTGTTCCACTGGTTAATTGTTCTAACTGTCGGGAAGTTTCTCCTTAGTTCTCTCCTTGCCTAGTTTCCATCCGTTGCTTCTTGTCCTGCCCTCAGGTGCTTTGGAGAATAGCTTGACTCCCTCTTCTTTGGGGCAGCCCCTCAGATATTGGAACATGGCTATCATGTCACCCCTAGTCCTTCTCTTCATTAAACCAGACATATCCAATTCCAGCAACCGTTCCTGATGTTTTAGCCTCCAGTCCCCTAATCATCTTCGCAAGATTCATTTAGCAACTGCAGTTTGACTTAACAACTGTGGCAAAAAGGACATAAAATTGGGTGCGGCTCATTTAACAATTGTTTGTTTAGCAACAGAAATTCTATCGTATATATTATATGTCGAGAATTACCTACATTCTCTTTGTTTTTCCCTCCATTAAAAAAGAAGAAACCCCACCACCAAATGGGAACAGGATTGGAACCCACCCCTGTGTTCAGCTTAATGCTGGAGCAATCTTCGGTGATGAGAGTGCCGCTGTCGTCGGTCAGGTTAGTCAGGCCACTCATGCTGCTGGAATCATCCATGGCCCAGTCGTTGGATCGCCGTTCATGCTGGTACTGCAAAGCTGGCAACTGGGTGGCTTGGATATCCATGCTGGAGTCTACAAGCTTGCCAACTCTTCAAGAAAGAGACCACATTCAGAATATTCCTCCCCAGTTCCTCCCATTTTATTCTCATAACAAGCCTTATATGGGATGTGTTCTTTTGAGAAGGCCAACCCAAGTTCACCTTCCAAGCTCACCTTCCAAGCTCACCTTTCAAGTTCTTCTTCCAAGCTCACCTTTCAAGTTCTTCTTCCAAGCTCACCTTCCAAGCTCATCTTTCAAGTTCATCTTCCAAGTCACCTTGCAAGCTCACCTTGCAAGCTCACTTTCCAAGCTCACCTTTCAAGTTCACCTTCCAAGTCCACTTTCCAAGCTCACCTTCCAAGCTCACCTTCCAAGTCCACTTTCCAAGCTGACCTTCCAAGCTCACCTTCCAAGTCCACTTTCCAAGCTCACCTTCCAAGTCACCTTCCAAGCTCACCTTTCAAGTTCTTCTTCCAAGCTCACCTTGCAAGCTCACCTTCCAAGTTCATCTTCCAAGTCACCTTGCAAGCTCACCTTGCAAGCTCACTTTCCAAGCTCACCTTTCAAGTTCACCTTCCAAGTCCACTTTCCAAGCTCACCTTCCAAGTCCACTTTCCAAGCTGACCTTCCAAGCTGACCTTCCAAGTTCACCTTCCAAGTCCACTTTCCAAGCTCACCTTCCAAGTCACCTTCCAAGCTCACCTTTCAACTCATCTTTCAAGCACATCTTCCCAATTCATCTTCCAAGCCCACCTTTCAAACTCACTTTGCAAGCTCAACCAAGAGTTACCTAAGGAAGACCTCTTCCATTGTAGTAACTGAAGCTCCATAACTGGCAATGCCCAGTTCTTCCCGGCGTAATTCCAGCTCTGTGAACAGAGCCTCAAATCTGGAAGGAAAAATAAGTGAGAAGATTTGAATTCAGACTACATTCACAGCAACATCCAGGTTGATTTTGAGAAGCCTGTGGACAGCTCCCTTCAGGCCAGCCTATAATGATCTTCATTTTAAAAAGGTCTCTTAGTAATTATAGCATTTTAATCAATATAGAAGGAGATATGCTGTGAAGTAAACCATAGACTTTGCAGCCACCTTTATCTATAACATAGGCCTAATGGTCTCTTAGAAAATAAAAGGAGAGAGTGACAATTTTGTATAGAATTGGTCCCCTCTGTCAAAAAAAATTAAGGAATCAGGAAATGCTAGAGGGTGTGTATTGTGTGTGCATGCATGGCAAACAGATGGCTTAAGATCCTTTTCAGCTATTCTGAGAGCACCTATAATAGGTTCCCCTGCTTGCACAGGGGTTGGACTAGATGACCTCCAAGGACCCTTCCAGCTTTGTTATCCTGTTCTGTTATTCAACTCTGCCTCCCAGGTTCAAAAGCTTACGAAACTCAGTTCTAAGACTAAGGCCGTGTTTGTTCACACAAGACATGACAACCCATATGACCAAATTCCATTTAAGGCTAATAGGGTCCTCAAACTTGCCCCATTGAGCTATTCAGGGCAGATTATGAGGGCAATGAGTTAAGTCAAACGAGCTCTTGACCTAGATAACCACGATCAAATGTGGCATGGTGAGACATGGTGAAGTGCATTGGAATTCGACATATCAGACAGCCACGGTCAAGGCACATCATGCAAGCAAAACCAAAGGGATCAACTGGTGGTGCAACGTTCTCTTTGAACCAAGGTAGCATCCTGCAAGGCCAGGTTCTCCAGGTGGATTGGACCCAACTCCCATCACTTCCATTGAGCCTTTGGGAAACGTGGACCCAACCTGTGCATCCCGCGTAGTTACTAAGGGTGAGATTACTTGTGTGTGCTCTCATTGGGTAGGATGAAGGACAGTTCTGCTCCCGCATTGCTTTCCAGAGAGGCGTTGGGGACATAATGATAGATGAGGTGGGAGATCTCTCCAAGATTACAATAGGGCTCTTTCACCATCACCATGTGGTACCCAGCACCTGAAAAGGAAGAATGATATCGCCTGATGAGCAACGGAGACTTTCCTGGGACCATGCCTAGCTTTCCGGGCCTTCAGAGCTAATCTGCCTACTACACTCAGCCAACCATGGTTTGAACCTGAAAAATGTCATCAGGACTGGACGTAGTTAATATGTAGAGTTGATGGATAGACTCAGAAGTCAAAAATACTTTCTGGAAGAAAGCCCAAAGGTGGTTTTTTTTTTTTTCACGAGGCAACTGGACTTTCGTGTTTTTCTTTGAAGACGTTTCGCTTCTCATCCGAGAAGCTTCTTCAGCTCTGACTGGATGGAGGGGAATGGAAGAAAGCAATGGGAAAGTACTTCTATAGCACGCTGGCTGAGGAATTCTGGGAGTTGAAGTCCACAAGTCGTAAAAGGGCCAAGTTGGAAGACCCCCGCTCTAGAGCAATCTCCTTACCATATTTGTGTTTGAGAAAGAGGGACGATCCACAGCACTGGAGTTCCCCCTTGGCCATAATGGCAATGCGGTCGCCCAGCAGGTCTGCCTCATCCATGAAGTGGGTGGTGAGCAAGATGGTGCGGGTTCTTCGCTGCTGCTGCAGGAGCTCCCACGTGGCTCGCCGTGAAACGGGGTCCATGCCTGAGGTAGGCTCATCCAGCATCACCACCTGCTCAACGCAGAGAACAGGGTGGTTGGGAAGCCAGTCTCTTGGGTCTCGAGCAGAGAAGTGGGGTAGTAATCATGGAAAGAGGTAGTAGAGGCCATGGCCAACTCAGAAGGAAGAGGGAAGGGTGGACACAACCTGAAGTAGCAATGATTTAGCAATGATTCCCCTTCTAGGGGAGAAAAGCTTCTCTTGCCATCCCTCTCTATCATCCCCGACTGCTTAAGGTCAGCTTACCCAACCAAACCCTTTGCATTATATCAAGAATGTGAATGATAACATTTAAAAAAAGAAGAATTCAAAAAATGCACTGTTTTCTCAATTTGATCACGCGGTAGATATTATGGTTTGAAGATGAGAGGACAATCCTTTATTAAATAAAAATGAATGGATGGATGGATGAATGAGAAAGAAAGAAAAAAAGGAAGAAAGGAAGGAAGGAAAAGAAAGAGAAAGATAGAAAGAAGGAAGGAAGGAGGAGGGAAGAAAGAAAGAAGAAAGAAAGAGAAAGAAAGATAGAAAGAAAAGAAAGAAAGAAAGAAAGAAAGAAAGAAAGAAAGAAAGAAAGAAGAAAGGAAGGAAAGAGCAGGGAGGGAAAAAAAGAAAGAAGGAAAGAAAGAAGGAAGAAAGAAAGAAAGAAAGAAAGAAAGAAAGAAAGAAAGAAAGAAAGAAAGATGGTGTCACAGAGCTCAACTCAGTGTAACGTCTCCCTTTTAGTCCCATCTGGTGGTGGTGATTTGGGCAAACTGTTGGGAGACTATTTTCAACTATCCAAAATGGCAGGCTGCAAGTACCACAAATCAGTAACCAATGGGGTTTCCTGATCCTTCATTTACATTTTAAATGTAGAAAGACCATGATGGAAAAACAAGGGCTTCAACTCAAGATGGTGGAGACACTCAACCTCTCCACTCCCATCTTCTCCCATTGGGAAGGCAAGCAAGTGGTCCCCATCCACTCTGCAAAGCACCACGTCTCTCAGAACCCCCTGCACAGGTGAACAAGGATGAAAGGAAGGGGCTTAGCTGAGACTCACCTGGGAGTCCCCAATGAGCGCAATGGCAATGGAGAGCTTGCGTTTCATCCCTCCAGAGAGGGCCTTCGACAAAGTCCTACGTTTCTCTTGTAAGTTGAGGATGTGAAGGATATGGGTGATCTCCCCTGGGCATTTTTCAGCAGGAAATCCTTTCAGCTGAGATGGAAGAGAAAGAGAAAAAGGTATGAGGCCCGAGCCTGGCATTATGATTATACAGGTAGTCCTCAATTTACAACTGGTTGCTTAAGGACTGCTCGAAGTTACAACGGACCTGAAAAAGGGGAGTTATGACCTGGATCTGGAATCCAACCATTTCTCCCCACCCCAATCTTCATGTAACTGCATGTCCAATGCTCATCAACCGGCCTGCATTTTCAGCCATTTGCAGTCTCCTGCGGTCACGTGACTATGTTTTACAATGTTTTTTGACAAAAACCAGCATTTACTTCTGATTTGGGGCAAAAACAGCCCAAGGTGAACAATGGGGAATTCACTTTATGGTCACAGCATTCATTTAACAACTGAAAAAAAAATATTTTCCCACTACATGTATGGATTCTTCTGCAATGTCTTTCACTTAGACTAGGGGTGTCAAACTCAATTTCATTGAGGGCCACATCAGCATTGTGGTTGCCCATCGGGGAACCGGGTGGGTGTGGCCAGGGTGGGTGCAGCCTACTGGGTGGGCATGGATGGAGTGGGTGTAGCCTACTGGGTGGGCATGGCCAGCTCTACATCATTCACATCAAGGGTGCCTGTGTGGGCCTGGGCAGGAGTGGGACAGATCTTAGGGTCTCTGGCAGAAGGGGGTGGGACCAGGGCAAGCACCAAGGCATGGTGCATTTCTTCATTCCTCACAAAGGGGGACACCTCCCCAGCATGGACCCAGGGGGTGGGGCCGACGCGGCAGGGGCTGGTTCCTCGCTGTTTCCAGATGGCCTTGTGGAGCTAAGACTGAATGCGTTTCAGCATAGATGGCCACCACAAAATTGTACTTTGGCCTGGGCCAGGGCCAAGGCAGCGGGGGCCATTCCCTCACGGTTTCCAGGATGGCTTCATGGGCCACATGAAACCACTTCGCGGGCCACATCCAGCCCCCAAGCCTTGTGTTTGACATGTCTGACTTAGACAGTCTCTCTTTCATTTATTGGGGTTGCCATCAAGAAGAGGGGGTCAACCTATTCTACCAAAGCTCCTGAATGCAGGACAAGAAGCAACAGATGGAAACTTATCAAGGAGAGAGAACCAAACTAGAACTAAGGAGGAATTTTCTGAGAGTGAGAACAATTAATCAGTGGAATGAGTTACCTCCAGAAGTTGTGCCTGCTCCAACACTGGAAGGTTTTTCAGAAGACATTGGACAACCATTTGTCTGAAATGGGATAGGGTTTCCTGCCTGACTAGAAGACCTCCAAGGTCCTTTCCAAGTCTGTTATCATTCCAATGGGCCTTTGGTTGCTGTTGACCACTGTTTATGCTTTGGAAATTGTACATAAATAAATGATTTCTCCTAGTTTGGACCAAGTGGACAAGTGGCATCTGAGTTCAGAACAGACTGACAATCTTTGCAATGCTAAAACGATCATGACAGACCATGAACAGCGGGCAATCACACAACCTCTGGACTTTGCAACCAGAAAGGCAGAGACTACAGTCGCTCAAGTAAACACTGAACTTCCAAAGTTTACCCCAGAGTAGAAGTAAAGGTGCTCTTCTACCGTCATGTGGTCAAAGAGAACATCGTGCTGAGGACAAAGACCCAGACTCTTCCGGATGAGAACCATGTCTTGGGATATTTCATAACCGTTGATGTATGCCTGTCCGCTTGTTGGAGGATACAACCCTAAGAAGCAGCCAAGGAGAAAAAAGGGGACACGGGTGAGGGCCAAATATAACTCCAGCCAACGTAAGAATGGGCAGTCATAAAAACCTGACTTATTTATAAATAAGTCAATAAATTTAAAACAAGGAGATGGAGGAGATGTTAGAACGAATGGATGAAATCAGCTACAAGTGTTAAATCCCACAACTTCCAACAGACCAACTCTGAACTAACATCCAAACTCTTGCCATGGTCTATCAGTACAGACTAGCATCAAAACCAGCGCAGAATATTAATTGGGCCTAAAATCAACTTTGCATAATTTCTAGTTGCTGTGCTCTTTGTTGATTCCAACTGGAATAGGTGATGAATTGATTTGATGGTCTTAGAAACCTTTTATTAACACTACTAAGCCCCATTTCCGCTCATCAACAATAAACATAACAATAACACCTGAATTTGCAGGGAAGTTGCTGCCCTTCCAGCCCTCCAGTAAAGCTATGGTTTTCTTAGAATATTGTTTAAAAGGTATTGCTTTCTTTTGTTCGTATGGGACCTCTAGGTCAGTGATGGCGAACCTATGGCACTAGTGCCAGAGGCGGCACTCGGAGCCTTCTCTGTGGGCACGCATGCTGTCACCCCAGCCCCGCCTCCCACCGTAGCTCCCTCCTCACCAGCAGCCCCCCCTGGAGGAGAATCACCCCTGGGTGCAGCTGGGCAGCAGATGATGCTGCGGGGTGTGGGCGGAGGGCGTGGCTACCATGGCATTGTAGGGCTGCCTGGGCGATCTGCGGCGTGCTGTGGATGGCCCTGAGGGTGGGCAGGGTGAGGGCGGAGCAGGGCGGGAGTGGGCTGGCAGAGTTCGCTATCATTACTCTAGATTGTTGGGAATCAGAGGCCAATGGTCTGCTTAAAGGATACCTTCTGAGTTCCAGATCAAAGGTAGTTTCAAGCCTCACCTGTCAGCATGGACAAAGTGGTGGTTTTCCCAGCCCCGTTGTGTCCCAGAAGGACGGTGATTTGTCCTTCATACATATTAAGAGTCAGGTCCTTCACAGCTTCTCTAGTTTTGCTTCCCACTTTGAACACCTGCAGACAAGCAAGGAAAAAGGATAAAGACAGAGAACCCCTATTTCTACAACAGATTCAGCAAAAATGCCCTAGAAGCTTTACGGTATTCAAGTTATGCTCTTAGAGTCAAGAGACTGAAGGGGCACAAAAACACTTGTACCTATTAAAGAGAAATTTGTAGCTGAGGGTTGAACTGTGGGGGTCCTTGGTGTTCCCTGAGCTTGGTGGCTCTCTTGCAGACATGTCACTAGCAAGTAGGTAACATCATAAAAGCTAGAAGGGAGTGGACTTTGCTCTTATAGTGCCAATAAAAGACACTATTAGGGTTGAATTGTAGGATCCGTGGCGTTCTCTGAGCTTGGTTGTTTTCTGCCAGACATTTCATTACCCAACTAGGGAACATCATCAGTGCTGCAAGGGAGTTAGAAGTCTCCCTTTAAGGAGTCAGGAGTCCAGAGCATACCTTCAGAGGCACCTAACGTTGGGTAGATCCTTCCATGTGCCTCTTCATTTGGTGCACCCAGTAGCCGAAAGATATTTCCGCACACAGAAGCACGTATGTAGGAAGCTCTTCCAGCTATGTCAGCAGAGTCTCTCAGAGAATCCAGAAGAAGAATTCCTTCTTGAAGGATCTTTGGAACTGTGCACATTTCCATCCAGTTTAATGGGAGATCTACAGTTCCCACTGCCTTTCATTTTTTTTTTTTTTTTCTGGGAAGCTCGCAGGGTTTTGCAAAGTCTGCTTTTTCTCAAACAAGCGCAGGCCTATTTTTCTTAGGAAGTGCTCTGAAAGTCACACGTTTGTCCACTAAAGAATCCTTCCCCAGCAACCCACATCACTACCACCTCATCCAGGTTTTTGCACTTAAGAGGGGAGCAACCAGCGGAAGACGCTCACCTTGGAAAGATGCTTGATTTTTACGCCTGACACTAAGTCTGAAGGCTCCTCTTCTATGAATTGACTTTTCAAGGCCTTCTCTGGGTCTTCCTCCTCTTCTTTCTCTTTCCCCAAAACAGTCTGGGGGCTGCCACACCAGTAAGAAGGCTAAAGAATCAAAGAGAATCCATTGTTCATTTCTGGAAAACTGATCCATGGAAGAGAGCCAGAAGGGTTTGTGTGGTTTTTTTTTTTTGAAAGTCTACAACAGCGGTTCTCAACCTATGGGTCGCGACCCCATTTGGGGTCGATCGACCATTTTACGGGGGTCACCAAACAATGCGATCTGCCATTTTCCCCCCTCAGGGGGCGGCGCCGCGCATGCGCGCCACGCCGCACATGTGCAGCACGTTCGTGTGACGGGGTCGCCGTCACACAAACGTTGAGCAACGCTGGTCTACAAGTTCTCTTCCTCTCTAGAGGAATGGCTTTGAAAAGACAGGAAACCATTTCTACAGGCTTTGAAACTCACTTTTCCAAGCAAAAAAATAAAAAAAAGATACTTTTCAAACATTCGCACACACAAATCCCAAATACATTACCGTGAAATGCATTTCTAATCTTAATAGCCTATTGACTGATGTTGACTCTTCGTGACCCCATGGAGAGAAGAGTGGTCCTCAACCTGGTTAACGGTCTTTGACTTGTTACTTAGTTCATGGGGCGAACTACACAGTCTCCTACTGTATAAGGATAAAAACGTAGATCCCTTAAGCGCTCATAAGATAACCCATATTAATGTTGACAAAGCAGTAGCTAAAATATATGTACAGCTTGAATGTATAGCTTGAAATGTATGTTTGTTAACCATTCTCTCTGATAAAAGAATTAACCCAAGCATATACAACAAGAAAGAAAAAAAAAATCACTTCTTGTGAGATAGGTGGCTATAAAAATTAGAGAGGATAGATGGATGAATAGATAGACACAGATAGAAAGAAATAGAGAGAGATAGAGATAGAGATATAAGAGATATATACACAGAGAGAGAGAGAGGGAGAGAGAGAGAGTTACAGATAGTTATAGGAAGGTAGATAGATATAGATAGAGGTAGAGGTAGAGATAGACATAAACAGCGAAACAGACAGATAGACAGAGAAAGAGAAAGACAGATAAAGATAGATAGAGAGACAGACAAATAGAAAGAGTTAGAGTCAGAGACAAATATATAGACAGAGACAGATATAGAAAGAGAGCTGTATGCAACAAAATTTCATTTTGATGTATGCCGATTTGTGTACATTCAAAGTGACAATAAAGTTCTATTCTATTCTATTCTATTCTATTCTATTCTATTCTATTCTATTCTATTCTATTCTATTCTATTGCATTCCACTCATTCCATTCCATTCCATTCCATTCCATTCCATTCCATTCCATTCCATTCTATTCTATTCTTATTATTAACAGACAGATAGACAGAAATAGAGATAGAGATATAGAGAGAGACAGAGATAGAGAGGGATGCCCAGTGCTTACCATGACAAAGAAGTACCAGGGCTGTGGGATGCCATATTCTCCAGGAAACACATTCTCCATGTACCAAGCCACCAAGCCATAGATCCCAGAATCCAGGAGAAGCATACCCAGGACGTGAGCCATGGTGAAGTTATCGTCTACACTGACAGCCTTCATCAAGTTTCCCCACTGTAGCCCTGTGCCTGGAAAATACAAGTATTTATTTATTAATTTATTTAGTTTATATGCTATCCATCTGTGCAATAAGCCGATGCTGAGCGGCTCACAGATCATAAAAAGTAGATAAGCAGTTAAAACTTTAAAACTGTGCCAATTAATTTTTTTTAAACAAACTACCGGTATGCAAATTTGAAAATGCAAACTTTTACAGTTCCAAATGAGCAGCACGCTACAAGGATTTCTTTTTTTCTTTTTCCTTTATATCCCTGCCTGGCTGGGGAATTCTGGGAGGTGAAGTCTACCCCTCAAACTTACCAAGTTGGACAACTTTGTAAATAATAATAACAACAACAACTTCCATCCTGCGACGATATCTGTAATACCATCAAACATCCACATCTGCCTATCCCAGGTCCTGGGTAAGGACTCGATAGGTAGACAAAAATGCCAAATCCAGTCTGAACATCTGGCTGACTGTGCAATGATCAATAATACTAATACTAATAATACTAATAATAATCCACATCTGCCTATCCCGGGTCCTTGGTAAGGACTCGATAGGTAGACAAAAATGCCAAATCCAGTCTGAACATCTGGCTGACTGTGTGATGATCCTCAATAATAATACAGTTGGAAGGGACCTTGGAGGTCATCTGGTCCAACCCCCTGCTCAGGCAGGAAACCTTATACCATTTCAGACAAATGGGTGTCCAGTCTCTACTTAAAAACTTCCAGTGTTGGAGCCGTATAAATAGGTTAATGTATGTAAATAATATTCCTGGCAGTGCAACCTTAGACATTGGCACCCAAGCTTCGGGGGAGAGTAACGGAAGGAAGCTGTTCGGTTCTGCTCACCTTTTCCTTCAAACCTGCCGATCAGCTGTGCCCCCATAGCCATGGCGACGTTGGAGATGAGGCAGGATGAGAGCTTCTGGCTGTGGGTCATGTGGTCGTAGCGCGGGGAGATAAAAAAGTACGGAATGTAGGAGAAAAAATAGAGGAAGCCTCCCGCAGCCGCGGCTACGTTTGCTGCAAACACAAAGTGGACATCGACTGTAAAACGAATCCATGGGACTTCATGGCCTTTGGGGAGCCAATGCGTTTGTCACAGATCCAGGGCAAGATGGCGGAGCAGAGGGAAGGAGGGGGGGGATAAGGGACGGGGACGACCCTGAGTGGAGATGGGGAATTTTGCATTGCGCTGCCAGCTGCTTCTTCTCCTACTTTTAAATATAGTTTAAAAAGATTTTCATACAAGTAAAAGATGGATGTAATAGTATATAAAGTGAAATTTTTAAAAAAAAGATAAAAGAAGAAATAGAAAGGGCAGTACAAGTAGGAAAGGGAAGGGGAAGAGAAGAAGGAAGGGGGGAATAGAGAAAAGAGAAGAGAGGGAAGAGAACGGAAGAGAAGAGGGAAGAAAGGGGGATGGAGGAAAGGGAAGGGAAGGAAAGGGAAGGAAAGGAAAGGAAAGGAAAGGGAAGGAAGGGGGAGGAAAGGAAAGGGAAGGGAAGGGAAGGAAAAGAAAAGAAAGGAAAGGGAAGGAAAGGAAAGGAAAGGGGAGGAAAGGGGAGGAAAGGAAAGGGAAGGAAAGGAAAGGGAAGGAAAGGGAAGGAAAGCGGGAGGAAAGGAAAGGGAAGGAAAGGAAAAGAAAAGAAAAGAAAGGGAAGGGAAGGGAAGGAAAGGGAAGTGAAGGAAAGTGGGAGGAAAGGAAAGGAAAGGAAAGGAAAGGGAAGGAAAAGAAAAGAAAGGGAAGGGAAGGAAAGGAAAGGGAAGGAAAGGGAAGGAAAGTGGGAGGAAAGGGAAGGGAAGGAAAGTGGGAGGAAAGGAAAGGGAAGGAAAGGAAAAGAAAAGAAAAGAAAGGGAAGGGAAGGAAAGGAAAGGGAAGGAAAGGGAAGGAAAGTGGGAGGAAAGGGAAGGGAAGGAAAGTGGGAGGAAAGGAAAGGGAAGGAAAGGAAAAGAAAAGAAAAGAAAGGGAAGGGAAGGGAAGGAAAGGGAAGTGAAGGAAAGTGGGAGGAAAGGAAAGGAAAGGAAAGGGAAGGAAAAGAAAAGAAAGGAAAGGGAAGGAAAGGAAAGGAAAGGAAAGGGAAGGAAAGCGGGAGGAAAGGGAAGGACAGTGGAAGGGAAGGGAAGAGAAGGGAAGAAAAGGTTTCCCATACAACAGTTACAAATTAATTCATTATCTCTCCTCCCTCTTTAAAGTTAAATCATACTTTTCTTCTGGCTGCTGAAAGACAAGGAAGACAGAAAAGGCAGGTAGGAAAGAATACTGTCTCTGTCTGCATCCCGCATTTTTGTTTTTTAAAACACTGGTCGTGCGGTAAAGTGATGTGGATCGAGCACGATTAATACTCAGAAGGAAGTCAATCAGAGACTCTCAGGACTGCCCCAGAAAGAAAAGAAAACGCAACCCAACCCAACAGAATGTAGGGAGGGAAATCTCTTCTATAATAAGAAAATATCCGCGTAGCTCTCCAGAGACAACTTAATTTCGTTGTGAGTTACACAATGGCAATCAAGATATCCTACTCTAAACTTTTACGTAACAAGGAAAGATGGCAGCTTAGCCAGCATTGTGTGAACAGGGGCAACCCTAACAAGAAGCAATAGCAGGAACCCCCTTGCTCACCTTTTGAGAAGAAGGTGCTGACCATGAAGCTGAAGGAGACGGTTGAGATGCAAAACACCACTAGGAAAGTGAAGATCAGAGTTGGGTCACTGCTGGCCAGCACAGCTCCCTGTCCACTCACCTGCAAAAACGGAAAGCTGTCAATAAATTCTCTTACTCTTTCAGGCCTCGTCACCTTCACAGAGACAGACAGATCTGAGAAATGGGGGTAGTGGAAGAAAGAGTGAACATGTTCCCCGAAGTCCCATCCTGTTGCCTTTTCCACTAGAGCTGAGGTGGCGCAGCAGTTAGAGTGCAGTACTGCAGGCCACTTTAGCTGACTGTGTTCAGCAGGTCAGCGGTTCAAATCTCACCGGCTCAGGGTTGACTCATCCTTCCATCCTTCCGAGGTAGGTAAAATGAGGACCCAGATTGTTGGGGGCAATGTAAATATATATATATATACATTGCTTACTGGTGTACACCGCTTAGAGAGTGCTTGCACTTAAAGCGGTATATAAGTCTCATAAATAAATATATGGATTTGCCCCATCCTGCCCAAACCTGAACCAATGCCTCTGTCCTTCATGAGATGACTACCAAGGTAGAAAGTGGACACAATGAGTATCTCTTGGAAGATGGTCACCTTTGGTGGCTATAGCATCAAACTCAACAATTCTGGAAAACGATGCGCTCTTAAAAATGCTTAAAAATGGAATTCACATTTCAACCTGCGATGTTGCATTTGTATTAAACTTCTCTAAACCATGCATCTGTATATTGAATTAGTTCTCGTATGCTAACTATATGTTTGTACCGGAAAAGTCATCTGGTCTTTTCATTGGAAGAATGGCTAACCAAGCTAAGAACTTGCTTTGATGTCTAGAATAATTCTCTTAAAAGCACATCAGCTCAAACTGGAAACCATTCTTAGATTATAATCTGAAATTATAGCTACACCCCCCCCCCCAAAAAGGGTTTCTCTTTAGCTAGAATCCATGTTTATGAGATTTTTAGTAATAATTTTAGGTGCAATTTAGATGCTGATATGTATATTGCATTTACCATGTTTTTATGTCTGTTTTAAGGTTAAAAGTAATAGTGATTATTAGTCCCTTAATGTGAGATAGACAGACAGACAGACAGACAGAGATGCTTTTCAATGTTTTTATGTTGTAAGTTGCCCAAAGTCATTGGATATGAGATGGGCGGCAAATACATTTCAGAAAGAAAGAAAGAAAGAAAGAAAGAAAGAAAGAAAGAAAGAAAGAAAGAAAGAAAGAAAGAAAGAAAGAAAGAAAGAAAGAGAAAGAAAGAAAGAAAGAAAGAAACTATCCCTAAACTAATCAGTGATATTTGAAAACATTGTAACTTCCATGAGATTTAAAAATCCTTGCTTTATTTAATCTATTTTTCCTCATGTTCTTTCTTGTACCGTATTTGTTTATATACTTTCTTCAAAGGGTCCAATAATATTTTTTTAATATGAGGATGCTCACCTTGACACAGGAGAGGATGGTCACAAAGAAGATGGACACTAAGAGGAAAAGGAAGAACAGGAGGAACCAGGCGCTCCAGTGTAGCCAGTTACTGAGTCCCATCATGCGCATGTACTCCTGTGGACACAAAATCCCGCATGGAACCATACATATCTGCTAATCAATGAGGGAGAAGCAAAAAATCTATATTTAAATGCCCATTGAATTAGCTGTCTGAGCTTTCCTCATTTTCAAATAGGCATCTGCACATTTGGTTTTCAAAGGTGTTTGCACGCTTACCACAAGGACAGAGGTTTTGTGGGTATTCTTGCCTGCCTTAAAATAAAGCCAAGTTCTCAAGAAAAACACCCTCAGGTGTTTGTACTAAATTCTAAGGCACAATCTGTTAAACCAGAGGTCCCCAACCTTTTGGGCACCAGGGCCGGTTCTCTGGATAAAGGTTTTTCCGTGGATCGCAGAGTGCCTGGTTTTATGTGCTGCCTGCAGCTGAGGGATGGGGCTTTGCTTGTTTGTGCGGACCAGTTGCTGGCATGCCGCAGTACCAGTCCATGGACCAGGGGTTGGGGACCCCTGTATTAAATTATGCTTATTATGACATCAAACCTAGTCATCATGGATGAGTTCGCCCAGGTATTCCATTTAAACAGTGGCGGAGGGATATCTCTAAATTTATACGGCAAGGAAAGAAACCAAACTATTCTATTCTATTCTATTCTATTCTATTCTATTCTATTCTATTCTATTCTATTCTATTCTATTCTATTCTATTCTATTCTATTCTATTCTAATTCCAATTCCAATTCCAATTCTAATTCTATTAATTTCCTCTCACAGTTGGGCTAGCCAACTAGCTAGCTTTGTCCTACCAAATCCCAGAACAGATCCTTCCATTACCTTCAGCTTCTTCTCCTTCTCATGCACTACGGCGCGGACAATATTGAGGGAGGTGTAGGTGAAGCTCAGCATGAGTAACAAGGGAAGCTGGTTCTGAATAGCCAGAAGGAAGAGGTCATTGACGTAAGGAGGATAAGGAAAGCGCCGAACGGTCACAGTCACCCGATCCAGCAGACTGGAAGTAGAGTTGTTGACATGGTACTGAATGATGGCCTTATCCACCACATGTTGCACTGCAAGGAAGCCTTCACGGAAGTACCCTAAGGAAGAAGGAAGCCACGTGAAAAGAGGTAGTATTAAATTCAGAACTTCAACAGGTAGCACCATCTGATAAAGCTTCTCTGATTTTGGAAGCTGTGGGATCAGGCATGGTTAACAGTTGGAAGGGAAACTATCTGAAATATCAAAGCTATAAGCTACAGTAGTCAGGGTCACATCCCAGAAAAAGGCATATGAGGACACAATTTTCCTACAGCTGCCAAGAAAATGACACCATCCTGACTAGGTAGTCATCAGAAGCCTAGCAAGATGTGAAGTAGTCTTCATTGATTCAGTGTTTTAAAGAGTTTATTGGCTTGTTTATTCTCTTCATTAGATTTCTATCCCATCTTTAGTCCAAGAGTTCAAGGTGGCTTCATTGTACAGCTTCATTTTATCTCATGACAGCAACACGGTGAAATACGTTGGGTTGAGAGACCACCAAAAGATAACCACTCCCCTTCTAAAACTAAGGGTGGAATTGAACCACGATTCCCATAATTCTAGTTCAACACTTGAGTCAGGTTATCATATTTTATGCCAACTTTGTCTTTCACAAGAATGGTCCTTGGGGTGGGGACAATAGACAGCATAGGTTCTAGAAACTTGTTACGGGTTACGTAACATGGGAAACGCATATCTCATGTTGGAGAGAACGTGAAAGACCGAAGACCAGTCAGAAGTAGAGGACAGCTCCTCATGTTTCCAGGTCCTACGGAAGATCTGATGATCTTTCAGCATAAAATAACCATTAGGAAAAGATTACCTGGTGTGCCTCCATCATCACTTTTTGCTTCTCTGGGTCCTGGTAACTGGAACAGTGGGAAGAGGTAGTGGGTATTCCAGTCTCGATCCAAGTTGGGGTTCAATCCTGTCCTTTCACTTGGAGGAGCGTTCCTAGGGCTATATTTGAAACGTAGCCGGTAACTAACCTGCAGACAAATCACAATGACATAAGAGTCCATCAATTCCCCGAGGCCATTCAAAACTAATTGCATCCAACTCCTTGGCTGGCCTGGAATGAATAACACAACATCCAGCCCACGTGTTGTTAAGAAATGTGTGCCTTCCTCCACCACATTCTGTACATCTGGATGGGTTTCTGCTTTGATGGCAGAACTGAACCAGGATTTCTCAACCATGACAACTTGAAGATGTATGGACTTCAACTCCCAGAATTCCCCACCAGCAAAGCAGACAAGAGAGATGTGACTAACTTAAATATCATGGCTTATACCATGATTTCCAGATGTTTCCTGACTTAAAATGGCTGGGAAACATGTTGCCTATTAGCAGTGATACGTATTAGGAGATTCTAGGAACCAAAAAGAATTCAGCAAATATATCTGGTCCTAAGGATTTGAACTAGACAGTGGAATGTATGGGAAATATAAAGGATTTGGCACATGGCACATAAGCATCCATGCATGTTTACAGACACTGTATTTGTAGTGTTCTCCAGTCCAGCTACATGCTTACTAGTATGCATGGATACACGTGCACCAGAAAGAAAGTGCAAATATGTAAATGTTCCAATATCTCAGGGGTTGCCACAAAGAAGAGGGAATCAAGCTATTCTCCAAAGCACCTAAGGGCAGGATAAGAAAAAAGGGATAGAAACTAACTAAGGAGAGAAGCAACCTAGAACTAAGAAGAAATTTCCTGACAGCAAGAACCATTAATCAGTGGAACAACTTGCTTCCAGGAGTTGCGAACGCTCCAACACTGGAGGTTTTTAAAAAGAGATTGGACAACCATTTGACTGAAATGGTACAAGGTTTCCTGCCTGTGCAGGGGGTTGGACTAGAAGACCTCCAGTGTCCCTTCCAACTGTTATTCTATTCCATTTTATTTCACTGCCTACATTTTTCATAGGAATGCCCCTAGATATATTATCTCCATGCAGAGATCTAGTTTTTATAATTCCTGGGTAAGAGACTATCATGCATCAGTTTGAGAGTTGTGAGAAGGTGTACTTGAAGAGAACCAACCAAGAGAACATCGTACCTGGAGCGGCAAGGGATCCTGGCTGTTAGCCACACAGTTCTCAAAAACCAGTCCCGCCAGTACGTTGCCCGAACGGTTATTGAACCTGATGTAGTGTTCAAACTCCTTTTCAGATGGAAACCCTCGCGCTACAGAGTTAAACAGAAACCACACAGTGATTTGTTAGGCATAACTGTAAGAAACTATGAGAAAGAGTGCATATATCTAATTTTACACGTATTAACTGCAGCAAGAATTGTATCCCCTCAACATTGGAAAAATGAAGATTTACCAACAGAGGAAGAGTTAATTAAAAAAAAAATCTTAGATTGTGCAGAAATGGATAGATTGACACTGAAAATGAAAGAGAAAGAACATTCAGTATATTTTAGAACAGAGGATGCCTTTTATCAGTGGCTAGAAAAATGAGGTAGAGAGAAAGGAACTTAACCTGTATTAGTAATATTCATCCTTCTCAAGAGGAATATTATAATCAACCCAGTCCAGCACCGAACAAACAAATGACGGCGCCTTCCTGTTTTTAATAGTTTTTATTATAATATTTATATATATTTGTACACCGCCCAGAATCAGTCAGCAAGGGAGGTGGGCGGTTTTTAAATATATAAATGCAATAAAGTAAATAAATAACTCATGTCATTCAGTCATTGCACTTGGAATGCAGCTACTCCTTGAGGAAAATGTGCAGGAACTATTTCCCAGGCAAAAAGGGTGGTGGTCAGCTGAAAACAAGGCCCCCACAGTCACAAGAAGCTCCCTCTGTACCCAGGAGAAAACCCTGGAACACAAGCCGCCCCGCCCAGGTGCAGACCTTTGATATTGATCTCCAAGGCCTTCTCCACCGCCTCGGCAATGCTTTCCACGGCTGTGTTGTTGGAGGGGACGTACGCTAGTTCCCAGGGGACGCCCGAATGCCAGCGATGGAAGAAACTGGGCAGCCTGTCCACCTGCTTGCTGTGGTATAAGGTGGCGTTGGGGTGGTTGACTGAGTGGACACGATGGCGCAGGCCAATCAGGATGGCAGCAAACAACAAGGGGAGACAAACCTCAATCAGCGTCACCAAAATTTTCCGCTTCTGCAGAAGGAAACAGAGAGGGTGCAAGTGAGGCCCAGCAACAGCTCCTAGGTGGAGTTGCAACTGGGTGTTCACGGTTCAAGAAGACCAAAAATGGCCAGGGGTTAATGACCCGGGCAAGCTGCAGGAGTTATGACGGCGAGGACTAGGATCTCCGCTGTAGGTCACTGCAGTCATAATTTGAGGCCCCACGTGACGGGATCCAATTGTACAACCATTTTTACGATGGTCGTTAAGGGAATCATGTTGTCATTAAGTGTATACACTTTCCACAGTAGGTGGCACTTTTTTGTTTTTGCTGGAAACGGGCAAAATCGTCTTGAAGGGACGCAGGGCAGGAAACATCCTGCAGGCTAGAAGTCTCCACCCACCCATTTGCACTACTCAGGTGACCCTGGGGACACAGGTAAAGCTCCAAGTGGCCTCAACGGCTCTTTGAAAGAATGCAAATGACCAGCGGTCTGCAAGGAGTACAAATCCTTCCATCCCCCACCATCCAGTCAGAGCTGAAGAAGCTTCTGGGATGAGAAGTGAAACGTCTTCAAAGAAAAACAGGAAAGTCCAGTTGCCTCATGAAAAAAAACACCTTTGGGACAATAATAACCGTAGGCAGTGAAACCAGGAAACTATCTCTGCTGGAGATTTACAGAATGGAGGCACCAGTCGTTGAAAATGATCTAGAGATACAGGATGACTCTGTTGGGAGGCAGTTTCAATGTTAGAACTGTAATTCCTCAAGCATAAACACAGGTTGATGGGAGGATCACCAATCCTATGTAGCTAAAGCAAAAATTCCAAACTTTTGCTGAAGTACAAACCAGCCCCTTTTCAAGATAATGTCATTCTATAAAAGCAAAGGGTCCGCCCCACGCAAAAATGTTCTTGTGGGCTGAGAGATGGCACGTGAAACATTGAATGGAGCTTTGAATATGGGGGTGGACACGGTTGACTGGCAGATATTTAACTATGGATTGCTAAAGGTCTGGTTTATTGCTGCTACAGTCTGTTAGATGCCAAGTTAACAATACTTCTTCCTCCACGCTTTTGAGTAGTAATGGATATTGGATCAACTGCAGTAGTCTTTGCATCCTGCCTGGTTTAATTTTTTAGTATACTTTTATTAAGCATTTTGAGAAAAAAAAGGAGGATAAAAAAGCAATACGGACACACTGGCATTTACAAGTCTGGAATTTTTCAACCTTTCATGATTTACTTGTAAAGAACCCAGCATCTTTGCTTCTTTTTAAAAACTACAAATCATAGTCTAGACCTGGGGTGTCAAACTCAATTTCACTGAGGGCCGCATCAGCATTGTGGTTGCCCTTGGGGGGCCGAGTGGGTGGGCATGGATGGAATGGGTGTGGCCTACTGGATGGGCATGGCCAGCTCTACATCATTCGCGTCAAGGGTGCCTGTGGGGGCCTGAGCAGGAATGGGACAGATCTGAGGGTCTGTGGCAGAAAGGGGTGGGACCAGGGCAGAGCCCATCAAGCCGGATATGTGAAGTAGGCAAGGGCCATTTGCTGGTCACTTCCAGGCGATGGTGCATTTCTTCATTCCTCACAAAGGGTGACACCTCCCCAGCATGCACCCAGGGGATGGGGCCAACTTGGCAGGGGCTGGTTCCTCACTGTTTCCAGATGGCCTTGTGGAGTTAAGACTGAATACATTTCAGCATAGGTGGCCACCACAAAATTGTACATTGGCTCCCAGCCGGCCTGGGCCAGGAGCGGGGACCGTTCCCTCACTGTTTCCAAGATGGCTTTGCAGGCTGCATCTGACCCCCGGGCCTTGTGTTTGACATGTTTGGTCTAGACCAAGGGTGTCAAACTGCCAGCCCGCGTCACCAGGAAACCGTGCCCACCCCATTGCCGGCAATGGAGAAAAAGCTCCGATACGTCACGCGACTTCACGTGACGTCGCAAGTTTGACATGTCTGATCTAGACTCTAGACAGACTAGAAATACCAGACACAGCAGTAAGCATAATATGAATGATAAATAGGGTTATAAATTACAATAAATTCTGCCCATGCCTCTAAAGGCCTATTTAAGAGAGCCAGTAAAACAGAAGTACTAGGACTTTGTGCAAAGACCAATCTGAATTTTGGATACTGTAGGAGAAGAGTTCTGTCTATGATAACAGAAAAGAAATCAACAGTCCAACATGCAAATTATAGATTTTATTAAGGAGCATCAGCTTTCCTGCGCTGCATTTCCCATCATTTGCCTTAGAACAGAGGTCTCCAAATTTGGCAACTGTTAAGATGTGTGGACTTCAACTTCCAGAATTCCTCAACCAGCCATGCTAACATGCTGGCTGGGGAATTCTGGGAGTTGAAGTCCACACATCTAAAAGTTGCCCAGTTTGGAGACCCCTGCTTTAGAATATAAACTGGAATGAGAAGGATGGGGAAGTTAGGTTGGTTATGCAAATGCAGACACAATAGGGTTTAACCACATTACAATGGTTAATTGATGCAATGCTTGTAATCAGTTGTAAGATTTTTATCTTGGGTTAAGTACGGGAGGTGAGAAAGAGAGGTAGTAGCTAGCTTTCGCAATGGTTTTGGAAACGAATCAAGAAAAAATATTACATTAATATCAGCATAATTAAGCTGACAATTTTCACCATCTGTCGCATTAAACTTTGCAATATAATAATAGTTGTTGGAGGCAAACCAAGATTCCTAGGGTCACAAGAGCCCTCAAACTGCTCTGCCATAATATAGGCTTGTTGGGTTTAGCAGGTTGAGTAAAACCAGCACTATGGTTTGGAACTATGGTTTACGGCTAGAACATTGGGCAAATCCAATCGTTTATTCAGCAATCCATAGCTAAAACATCTTCTGTGGCATGGAAGTGAAGGGACCTTATTGTGCTTATGATTTCATTATGCGTAAGCTTGATATTAGTACTGTTATTTTGTAGCCATTTTATATATATATATTTTATACGCAAGGAGCCTTATAGATAGAAGCACGTGTTTCGTGTATATTGAGAAAGTAAATGTCTCATGCTAAATATACAGGAGATTGTTTACATCAAAGGAGCAAGGTAAGATTCAGTGGTCCAAGAAATAGAGAGGGGGGAGGTGAGTTAGCCTGGATTGATGTGTATAATTCATCATCTTGGAATTTGTTTTTCTGTGCTTCCTTGCTCCTGGTACAGAGACCTGAATCTCTTTGTTCCGAAAAGGTATAAAAAGTGGAAGAAGTCTCTTCTGGGTATGCCTTTGTCCCTCTAAGCCAGTGGTTCTCAACCTGTGGGTCAGGGTCCCATTTGGGGCCGAACGACCATTTCACGGGGGTCGCCAAACAATGCAGTCCGCCATTTTTTTCCCCCTTTTCCTTAGCTGTGCTCCTCCCTTTTATTCTATTGGCTTTTGAAAGCCAATAGAATAGACTCTCTTGAATAGAGTCTAATTCTATTGGCTTTCAAAAGCCAATAGGAATTGTCCAGGCTGTCTCTGCCCTGCTGAGCCCGCCAAAAGTCCCATTCTGCAAACGGTGCTGCACCAGTTGAGTAGTCCTCGACTTACGACCGGTTGAGTAGTCCTCGACTTACGACCGGTTGGGGGGTCGCGGCATTAAAAAGGTTGAGAACCACTGCTCTAAGCAGCCACGAAGAGGGAGAAGGCTACCCAACTCTGTCTTGGCCAAAATAAAGTTGCTTTCTTTGCTGAAACCTCGGCTCAGGCGTTTCTTTTGGCTCTTTGAAATTCCCAAATAGGCCCAGAGGAGTTTGTGAGGCTAGGTGGAAAACCTTACAAAAGCCAAGATCAAAAATGAAGGCCTGTTTCAAGCAGACGTCCTGATTTTGATGTCTTCTTCTTCAGATGTGTTGGACTTCAGTCCCCATAAACCTCAAGCTGTGGATGAACAACTGAAGTCCAGCCTATCTGGAAGAGATTCAAGAAGACTGACTTGCAACAAGCTTTAGCGTCTACCCTTTCATTTTTATGGATACCCTTCCTGTCATTTCTTCATGGTCCCTGACCAACTCACCTGCAAGATGTAATTCTTCCAGAGAAGAAGCCCAAACTGCCGTAACACAACCATCTTTTCACTTGGAATGGGAGGACCAACTTTCTCAAATTCTGTGGAAAAGCAATATTGGAGCCATAAGATCAAAATGCAAAGCAAGTCCACCATCAAAGAGTCATTTAATGGAGGGATAATTTGGATATCAACCCTATTTGTTAACAACCATACTATTGTCCTGGAGCAAAAAAAAATCCCTGTAAAATATAAACTAGTGGTTCACAAAGACAGAATATCTATATATTACACAAGTTGGTATGTCCATGCATCTTACATAACTGTATTTACATCATATAAGAATCATATCTATCTATCCATCCATCCATCCATCCATCCATCATCTATTTATTTATCTATCCAACCACCCATCCATCTGTCATCTATCTATCTATCTATCTATCTATCTATCTATCTATCTATCTGTTATCTCTGTCATCTAGCTATCTATTCATCCATCCATCATTTATCTATCCAGCCACCCATCCATCTGTCATCTATCTATCCATCCGTCATCTATCTATCTATCCATATCTATCTATCTATCTATCTATCTATCTATCTATCTATCTATCTATCTACTATCTACTATCTACCTACCTACCTACTGTCATCTATCTATCTGTCTGTCTGTCTGTCTGTCTGTCTGTCTACCTACCTACCTACCTACCTAATCTGTCCATCCATCAGGAGATGTAAAGAGATTGTTTGGATCCCCTTCAAGTGCCATATAGAACATCCTTGGGCAAAATGAGAGAATGAATAATCTTATAGCTAAAGATGATGTGCAGAACCACCGATTTCATTAAAGGAAATTCATATTGGAAACTTCTAATCTATGGACAATGTAATCCAGATGTTTTAGGCTTCATGTCCCAATGGCTGAATCCAACTAGGGGAATGACAAGTGATGGTGGGAAGCCCCAAATTTCTAAGTAGACATCTAGCTGCTCTATTCAGTTGAACCTCAATGATGAAGCATATCTTTGCAGTGGTAAGTGCATATTGTATGAAGTCATTATGATTAGTTTAATTTTGATTTAAGATGTTGGGCAAGCCCGCCCGTTCTGAGCCCATAAACCAAGATTTATCATGGAGGTGGCACCACTTTTTTTGACATAGACAAATGAGCAACTTGGACCATCCTGCTGAAATTTGATGAGCAAATTGTAATTTTTGGTAATGTACTGTAGCCTTTCTCTTATGATTTAAGATTAAACAAGGGTTGTATCCCAACTTTGTATTATATATATATAAAAAAACAATTATTCCATAACTAAAAGAAAAGTTGAGATTTTGAGCCCACTTGGACCACCAATCTATTGTGATTAAATTTATTATAACAATAGCTTTGGAAAGTGAAAAAAAATAATCAAATCAAACCTATGTTACGGTCACAGTCCAGCATAAAAAGAAAAATAAATGAAATGCAGCTGCTCATGGGAAAAAAATTAGCTCATTTTTGTGTGTTGTGCAAATCCAGCATTATTTTTTTCCCCTAATTTCCTATTTCTTTTAAAACTATATAAATATTAGAAATACAATTTTAAGTCGTGGATTTGACACACACAAAAAGAAGCATTGCAGAAATCAAATTTCTCTTTCAGTTGTTTTGGGCAAAGCACATAATGCGTTCCTTTCACCGTAAGATATATTTGTTCTAGTAGAGAACATGGTATATAGTACTTTCAGCCAGATTATCTGTTCTCGCCCTGACTCTGAACACAAAAGTGTTATTTTGACTCCACTACAATCAGAGAACTCTTTTGTTTCATTTTTTTTCCACCCAGAAGGCCAAACAATCACTCATGAATTATACAGCCTTCAAAAACTAAGCATCTGAAGTTCTTAACTGCAGCCAACTCATGCTGAATTCATCTTTGCAACTTGAACCTTCGGATCATAAACTACACACAAGCCAGCTTCCCTGCCATAAGCAACCAGCAAGGAGGAAGCAAGCGACACCAACACAATTGCGGTAGGAGGAACCCGATGTTGATGGTGTGAGGAACATCTGCACATGATGTGCACATCGTAAGAATTACTTTGTCTCTACCCAACAGTTATGATCTTACAAACGTACAAGGCTGGACACTCCCGTGATCAAATTTTTCTCCTCTTCTTGGTTTCTTTAACACTAACTTTGTTCCAAAATCCAGGCTTTGGCCTAGAATCCCGTGGCTTTTTCTAAACTTTGGTTTCCTTCAACCTGGCTGATCTCCTGCAACTTTTGCTTCAGGCTGACCTCCCAAACTTGTATTTCAACAACCTTTAAGAACCAGAATGGAAAAAAATTTAGATGTGCTCAGCAGCCTACAATTTATTGAGGTGTGTAAATACTATCAAGAGTTCAAGACAGGCTTCGTAGCCAAAACGGCTTCAAATACCAAACTCAGAAGCAAAGAAAATTAGAAGGAAAAAAACCATAAATGCTAAGAAGAAAGGGAGGAAAGATTAAGGAACAAAGCTCTTCTGAGTGAGTACTTTTCCATCAAGAGCCAAATATCCTCTGGACATCTAATCCTAAAAAGAAATGGATCCTCACAAGATTAAAATTGAACCCAGGCAGGGCAAATTTAACTCTTCCAACTATTCTGTCTTCTGATCTTTGATCACCATGTCATACGCTCTGGTTACATGGTACATCAGATATGAATAGACATTTAGCATTTCTCCAAGCTTTCCTGATTATTTTTAAAAACTGTTTGGGGCAAGCTGTGTGCACCAGACTCTAAGAAAATGTCAAGACATGTGCAATAATACACACAATCATACACCATTGAGGATTTGGCCCTCTGTTGGGGAACCTGGTTAATGATTATCAGTCTTAATGACTGGGTACAGGCTGCAGGCCCCAAGGCAGTCTACTTCTACATATTAGGTGTAGCATAATGTAATGTAAGAAAAGATCTTGGTCTTTTTTTATATATATGTGTCTTCAACCTCCATACTTCCCAATACATGATGGAATCTGTAGTCTAAAACATCTGGAAACTTGGCTGCTTTATTGTGCTTATGATTTTAGTATGTTTAAGTTTGACATTAGCATTTATTTTATATATAGTAACCATTTTATATTGATACTTATAGTGTTATCATGTAATCATTGTTTTGTTATTTTGTAATCATTATTTGTAGTTAATTGCTTGATCAGATGCTTTATATATATATTGGAAAAGTAAGGGCTTCATGCTTTAGGTATAGGTGATTGCTTATATGAAAAGAGCACAGTAAGGGGAGGGGGGAAAGGAGTTACGAATGGAGCCTGGGATGCTGTGTACGAGTCATCATCTAAGACAGTGGTTCTCAACCTTTTTAATGCTGCGACCCCCAACCGGTCATAAGTCGAGGACTACTCAACCGGTCGTAGGTCAAGGACTACTCAACTGGTGCAGCACCGTTTGCAGAATGGGACTTTTGGTGGGCTCAGCAGGGCAGAGACAGCCTGGACAATTCCTATTGGCTTTTGAAAGCCAATAGAATTAGACTCTATTCAAGAGAGTCTATTTTATTGGCTTTCAAAAGCCAATAGAATAAAAGGGAGTAGCACAGCTAAGGAAAAGGGGAAAAATGGCGGACTGCGTTGTTTGGTGACCCCCGTGAAATGGTCGTTCGACCCCAAATGGGGTCCCAACCCACAGGTTGAGAACCACTGATCTAAGAATTGTTTTTTTGTGCCATCTTATGCCTGGTACCAAGACCTGATCTTTTTGTTCTGAAAAGGTATAAAAGGTGGAAGACATCTTTTCTGGCTGTTGCCTTCATCTCTCTACCAGCCACGAAGAGAGATGGGGGTCACCCAACTCTATTTTGATCAAAATAAAAGTTGTCTGCTTGCTGAAGCCTCGGCTCAGGAGTTTCTTTGGCTCTTTTAAATTCCTGAGTAATGCTGGGGCAATTGTGAGGCTAAGTGGAAAACCTTACATCCATTTGATTACTGTAGTTGTTGACTACAACTCCCAGAATTCCCCAGCCAGCAGTATGCTTAAATTCAGACACTGTTCTACTATATGCCACTTCGCAGGTTAAATCAAGCGATACCTGGATGCATTTTTCTCCATTACTCCCAATATTTGGACAAAAGTGTTTCAAAATTTTGTTTTTTAAAAAAGCTTTTCATCTTTTCACAGCTTCCACTACCCAACCTTGTCTAATTATACAACCATTTTTCTCAGGCAAACAGCTCCTCTTAGTCAGTCAAGCCTCTTCCTGGTTCCCCCTTCATTTCCAAGAGTGATTAATGGCACAGGAAGACAGACAAGCAAAGACACCTTAGAAAAGGGACAACGTAATGGTTGCAAGGTTGCTTTAACCAGATTTATTTCATGTATTCATTAATCAAATGTAGGTACTGACCATCTTTATTGTGTAAAGCCAGATACAAGCTTGCATCTCTGATCTTGGCAAGGTTCATCCCTACCCTTCAAACTTCCCTCTAAAAAAACTTGCCCATCAAAAAGAAAGTAGCTTGTTTGTGTTCTGTTGAAACATGCTTCCAGCTTAGGGCAATTGCCTCCTACTGGCACAGAGCCCCAAAGGCCAACGCAGTGCTAGGCTGCATTAACAGAGGGATAGAATCAAGATCAGGTGAAGTGTTAATACCACTTTACAAGACCTTGGTAAGGCCACACTTGGAATACTGCATCCAGTTTTGGTCACCACGGTGTAAAAAAGATGTTGAGACTTTAGAAAGAGAACAGAGAAGAGCAACAAAGATGATCAGGGGACTGGAGGCTAAAACATATAAGGAACGGCTGCTTAACAAAGAGAAGGACGAGGGGGGACATGATAGCAGCCTTCCAATATCTCAGGGGCTACCCCAAAGAAGAGGGAGTCAAGCTATTCTCCAAAGCGCTTGAAGGCAGGACAAGAAGCAATGGATGGAAACTAACCAAGGAGAGAAGCAACCTAGAACTAAGGAGAAACTTCCTGATAGAACAATAGAATAGCTTGTCTCCTGTAGTTGCACTGGAAAGAGTCCAGAGAAGAAAAACAAAGAGGATCAGGGGACTGGAGGCTAAAACATATAAAGAATGGTTGCTGGAATTGGGTATGTCTA